TCATTGGGAGGGTGGGGATCTAAAAATAAGTAATTGGTGTGACAACCATGAGATCATCTTTTTCAAGGCAGTCCACTCCACATGCTTTTCTTGGGTCTGTTGTGTCCTGTCCTGGGTGTGCGGACGTGCCCTTTGCTTCCCTCACTGGGCACTGGAGGGTTATCCAGAGGTTGCGGTTTGCTGAGTCCACCCTCCAAATGGATGCTAGTTATGCTGAGGCCTCTGTCCCACATGGAAAGGGATACATCCTCCCTGGGATGTTAAAGAATCTTGTCAGAACAGTAAAAATAAGAATACAGGTTCTCAGAAGACTCAATCTAGTACTGTACTTCTTTGAAGTGTTCCTTTTTTTCTGCAAATTTATAGTGGCCTTAACATAAATTTTAGCCACATTAGTGTAACAGTTTCCCTGTTTACATCTGAGTTAGAGGTCCTGCAAGTGGCAGTGACCATGCATTATCCTAAATGTCACAAAAAGACTTAGTTGTGCTTGTACACATGCATCCTCCCAGCTCTCTCCATTATTTTAGTGAAAGCAAAAGCCTTATCAGTGTGGCTCGCCTTACTGCCTCAGTGTGAAAGGCCAGTAGAAAGAACACAAGAATTAAGTGGTGGGTGGGTTGTAGGAAGGTCTCTCTTGCCACATCTTTGGCTTGATGAATGTGCTTTACTTCTGTGGATACTTGCCAGGTAGAGAGAAAAAATTTTTTAAATCTGTTTTTCCTTCATAGGTCATGCAGTTGCTGAGGAAGAAGCCAGAAAAGCCCATCAACTCTGGCTTTCAGTGGAGGCATTGAAATACAGCATGAAGACCTCCTCTGCAGATTCACCCACGGTCCCTTTAGGAGGTGCAGTTGAGGCCATCAGAGCCAGCTGTTCTGATAGTGAGTTTGCCCAAGCATTAACTGCAGCTATCCCTCCAGAGTCCCTGACTCGGGGGGTGTACAGTGAAGAGACCCTGAGGGCCCGTTTCTATGCTGTCCAGAAACTAGCCCGAAGGGTAGCAATGATTGATGAAACCAGAAATAGCTTGTACCAGTACTTCCTCTCCTACTTACAGTCATTGCTGCTGTTCCCACCTAAACAACTGAAGCCACCAGCAGAACTCTACCCTGAGGATATCAACACATTTAAGTTACTCTCCTATGCCTCCTATTGCATTGAGCATGGTGACTTGGAGCTGGCAGCAAAGTTTGTCAATCAACTGAAAGGGGAGTCCAGGCGTGTGGCACAGGACTGGCTGAAGGAAGCCCGGATGACCCTAGAAACTAAACAGATAGTGGACATCCTGACAGCATATGCCAGTGCCGTAGGAATAGGAACCACACAGGTGCAGCAAGAGTAGGGGCTAGGATGAGAAGTACAATGCATCACCTGTCAGAGGAATCAGCGGTGACTTACGAAGGGTTTGTAACAAGGGTCCCAGAATTGTGTAGAAGTGAGCAGGTTCCAAGTCCTATGTTAAATGTTAACACCTGTTGCACTCATCGTCCCACTTGCTATCATGTCAGTGAACTCCAGGAGTGTTTCTTTTGCAACTTGTGTAACATTTCCTGTGTTTCAGGTTTTACTGATCAGGCTTGTGAGCCACTCAAAATAATGTTTGTGATCCCTGCTATCGAGTCTACCCTTGGAGCAAACTGAATAAAGCAACGTGATGAAATCTGTGCTATCCCTGTTTAAAAAGTGCCATTTCTAGTTTGTTGTGTATACAAAGTCTTCAAGTAGTAGTAGTCCTAGGAACCCTGGTGTTCTCAGGCTGTGGGCTAGGTCAGCGCAAGTCCAGGGCCTGCTTCTTGGCTTTGGTTGACTCCTGCTAGTCAAATTCAGAGTGATGTTCGAGCCAAAATGCCACGGTATTTATCATTGAACACAAATCATCCCAGTGGTCAGTCCAAGAAGCTGCCTCCCAAACTGGTTACTTGAGCCACAGGTTTTTTGTTGAGACCCACTATGCTCACACCTGTGCTCAAAGTACTGCTGGCATTCCTACTTTGTGTTGCACTATTTTCTGGTATCTGGGTTTTAAGTCTTCACCTGAGTGAAGGTAGTGAACATTGAATCTTAATGAATGGATAAAATATTTTGTGTACTTACTGCTGCCCTAAGAACCCAGAGAACTCCTCAGTGAGGCAACTGTCATACTGGATAAACCAGAATGTCTATTTTTGTACTTAACTTTTACTTTGTGAAGACTCCCACATCTTTATGAAAATACTGCCAACTTTTTCACAGCAGTTTTTTAGGTTTTATGTTAAGATTAAGGAGGTGCTTTTATCTGAGCAACCTACCTGTGAACCACAAGGTCACTTTTTGAGACAAGGCCTCGTAAGTTTAGACAGGTTTTGAGCTCATTGTAGCTCAGGCTGGTCTCGAACTTGCAAAGATCCTCCTGCCTCAACCTCTCTAGTACTGGGATTACACACATGTGCAGCCTCATCAGGCAGTCACTGTTTTCCTCCCCTCAACTTGAGTAGATGTTGGTCCCTGCATGTTGTAGACCTTGTCCTTTTAATTTTGGGATATGTTAGTTTCATCTTTGGTCTAATGTAGGTATATCCTATGTCCCCTCCCAAATCCGTGTAAACTTCCCTGATTGGGATAGCTGCCTTAGGAAATAAATGCCTTAGCCTCTGAAAGAAGAGGCACCTTGGGACCCTACTGAGGAATGCTGCTTTCATGAGATGAGCAGTTCTAAGTTCAGCCTTCCATTTTGGACTGGCATGAAGTGTAGGAGACATTAGCCTAAGTCTTGAAATTCCTATTTTACTCAGGGAAAAAAAATAGATCCTTTAGATGAATTACAGCCTTAAGTTCACCTGTGAAAGTTTGCAACTTTAATGTCTGTAATTGGGGAATTCGTGTCCTTCACAGCACACTACTTTTATGTTCCTTTTTCTTAACTTAAATGCTGTGCTCTCTCAAGAGGTTATTATTGATGAAAGCAATCTCCCAAATTCCAAATGAGTTGTCCCACCAGTTTTAAAGTCACTTGTTTCATCTTGGTGTATACCACATCATTTTAACACAGAAGGGAGAAAAGAAAGCTTAGATGTCGGGCAGCCTACCTCCAGTCAGCATCCCCTAAACCACAGGTCTGTCTCTCTGGGTTTGATGTTATCTAGGGGCGTGGAGGAAGCTATTACGGCTTTTACCTATGCAAGGTGGTCTTCTTTAGCTTGTTCATTTTGGTCATTTTGTGAGACATCCTATGTAGTTCTTACTGCCTTTGACCTTGCTATGTGGGGCCCAGACCCCCAACTCTTGACCCTCTTGCCTCAGGCTCCCACAGCTTGTTCTGTTGAAGGATGCTATAAGGGCTGGGGCTGAGGCAAGAGGCAAAGTTTAGGTTGTTGTGAGAATAAATTCTTTCATGACCTTTAAACCTCTTGGGTGGTCTCAGTTTTTCAGAACCTTCAGTCTTCCTGAACCTCTTCTGGGCTTGATCCCCAGCAGTCCTGAATTCTCTATTGTTCACAGCTGGGGACGATGTCCTAGCACATGTCTTATACTGGCTAGATCAACATATTCTTTTCTCTGGGAAAATCCCACTTAACCTTTCAAGTCTCACCAGAATGATTCTATAAAACTGGTTTTGCCCATCTATACTCCAAGGGTACTGTGTTCTTCAAAACTTTTTCACTGTGACGAACATAAAATCTAAATTATGTGGTATACTTGCACATGCATACCTATAGGCATATTCATGTTACAATTTAGAACTGCATATGGTATATTTTCTGTTTTTCAGTACTGAGGATTGAACCCCACACCTTGTACTAGGTGTTAAATCCTAGCCATTTTTATTTTCAGGCAGCATCTTGGCCAGGTTACTAAAGCTGGCCTTAAACTTGCAGTTCTCTTGTGTCACTCTCCTGAGTAGCTGGGATTATACACATACACCACTGTGCCTGGTTTTTACTTGGATTTTCTGATCCATCTTCTTAAAAATTCTAGTCACTATCCACTGAAACTGACTTGAGTCTTTGTAGTCAAAAATCACCTTATTTGTAGAATATGGGTACAGAACCAGTGACAACACATGCATTACATTTTTCCTGAGCCAGGTATTTAGAATTTAAATTACATCTTAAGACACCAGACCAGTAAGGTTTTAAGATAAAGGTTTTAACCTTCAGGAAAGATTGAAGCATCAAGTTCAGTCAGCATTTACCAACACCTAAGTGATAGATTTGAGTTTAATTCTAAATCCACTTGAAGTCATTTGATCCTGTTGAGTTTTTTGCTTGAATACTCCAGTACAACTATAATAAGACATTAAGTTCTTGATGTTCTGTTGAAATGTTGTGTAGTTTAAAACTACACATAAGTGCTACACACTGGTGAGTGAAGTCTAAGGCCACTGAAATTTATCCCACGTGAAAAATCTTTCCCATTCATTAAGCAGTGCTTACTTCCATTTGTTGTTACAAAAGCTACTCAAAGTTTCACTATGTACAGTCCACATTTTGTAACTTTTTTTAATTTTGGTAGTACTAGGGATTGAATCCTTGCAGTGAACTACAGCCCCAGCTTCTGCCTCCCCCTTTTTTAGGGCAGGGTCTCCAATGAGGCTTAAACTTCCCGCTTTAGCCTCCCAGAGTGCGAAGATTATAGGTGTGTATCACCATGCCCAGCTTACAGAGAGCTATAAAGGCTGTATCAGAATTAAATGTTAAAGAATAATAATGGGGCCAGGGAGATGGCTCAGTAAATACTTGTCTGGCAAGCGCAAGGGTCTGAGTTCAATCCCCAGTTCCACAAAAAAAACAACTACAAATAATAATGGAAGCCAAGCATGGTGACAAAACTGTAATCCTAGCACTTGGGAGGCGGAGGCAGAGGAATTGCCATAAGTCTGAGGCCAGCCTGAACTACATAGTAAAAACCTGTCTCCAAGAGGAAAAAAAAAAAAAAGGAAGGTGATATACATCAGTGGCATAAGTGTCTGCCTGGCAAGCACCAGGTCCCTAGTACTGCCAAGAAAAAGGAAATATATATGTAGATTATTACATTTATTTACAGTCTTCACCAGCAGTGCTGCCTAAAACTGTCGTTATCCTCTTTAATCAATTCTAAAATGTGTAAGTATTCACATCTAATTATTCCTTTAATTGGGAAACTACTGATCAAACAGCAACTGTGATGTAATTTCAAGAAACCCTAAGTTCAAAGAAGCGACAGCAGCATGCAGGCCAGCAAAGGCTGGCGAGAAGCCGCACACCGATGCTGGCAGTGTGAACACACTGGGTATGCAGGGCTTATCCAGTCAGCAACAGCCACAGACCCCAGGATGTGCACTTGGTGTCAGAAGAGATGAGGTGGCAGTGTTGCTGCCTGACTGGTAACTCCCGAGCGATGTCCTACTAGATGGTTTCATGGCAAGTACATTAGGAGCTTAATCTAAATTCAGCATTGTGTCCATTCTTACTTCACAGTCCCAAAGTCACCAAATCTGCATCTTCTTGTTTTCTTTAGATCATGGTTAAATATTTCATTTGCCATCACTGTCGCTGTCACTGCTGCTCTCACCATCACTGTCATCTGCCAATGCCGTCTGGTTGCCCAGGGCTTCCCTATAAGGGAAAGTTATGGAGGTTACACTGCAGCTTGTCATGGGCTGGGCCCTCATCGTCTCCACGCTCGCTGCATAATCTCACCAGGCTGCATTCAACTATGCTAAGAACAAAGGAAGGGGTTCCCATACCCCATCAATAGGCTTCTTTGCTCACGACAATGAGGTAATCATTGAATCACTATACCACTACATCTTTTTTGTAAGGGAAGAATGGGAAAGGGAGAGACATCTGACAAGGAGGAAAATGCCCTGCTCCTCCAGGACAAAGACTAAGCCCCACTTACTTTTGTTCTGGGTCCAGTGCGAAGTCCGTCATTGCTCTCTGGGTGAGAGTCTCACACGCAGGCAAGCTGAAAGTGCTCGCCAGCTTCACAAGCTCAATGGCCTGGGCAGGACTCTTGCGTACTTTTGCATTGTCCATAAATTCATTCAGCAGTTCAACCCTGTTTTTTATTAAATGGCAAAATATGAACAGTCTACAATTGAAACCCTTCAGTCAAAGGCTTATACGTAAAATTCAGGCTAAGTTATTAATAAAATGGGAAACAATACCTTTAGAGTCAAATTACATGACATCTAAAGGCCCAGAGATACTGCATATTCACTCAATATATCTTAAGGATCTACTCAACATGTCCCCAATGTATCATATCACTGAGCACAGGTAAAAACTATCTCCCCTAGGAGGCCCTGGATGAGAGTTGGGTTTGCTTCCTGAATAGCACCCAAATGCACCTGAATTGCAGCCTGTGTAGGTGAGGTCTGTAAATTTCAACTTACCTGGGGATTTTATTATGCTTCCTAAAAAGTCCCAACACCTTCCTGTGCAAAAAGGAGATAAGAGTGACTATAAATACTCAGCAAAGCAAGATTATCAGAGAAGCTGTTCTCCTTGGGCTCAGAGACTAAACACCCCTTTCACACTATAAGCTAGAGATATCTATTTGTGGGCTCTACTGTTGGATGTTTTATGGGCAAATCTAGACATGGCTGGTGCTGAGAACTGGAGAAGCCACCCTACCTCCCTTGCAGCTGAAGAGAGGCAGGCACAGCCTGGCCTCCTCCCATTCTATAACACAGTGTAGGTGTGTCCCAAAACTTATCAAAAGCAGGCTCAGATTGAGGCAAGTCTCATGTAAGTGCACGCCATCAACCTGCCACATGCAGGACAAAGGCGGAACACATACATTCAGCTCCCATGATTCAGCTGAGGTCCGTACCCCTGCGCCAATCATCACAGCCTGAGTCATAGCACGTGTACTAACCAATCTGAGCTAACCAGCACATGCAAATGCCATGTTTGTCACTAGCCTGGAAGGTGCTCGGCAGGTCATATATGTTGAGTGGGCCACATGTCTAAGAAAAATTACAGCAGCTTTACCTGGAGATAGTTTAACAGCCATGTTTTAGACTGGTAATCAGATGTGGAAGTTATTTTCTTAGGGAAGAAGCCATGCACACTGCACCTGGGCCTCAAAACCAACACATTTATGTCCAACATGAACTAACACAGAACTCGACTACCCCAAAAAGTATCCTTCTGTTTACTTTTCACATTTGGAAAATGAATATGCATACGGTTCCCATTCATGAAACACACTGCCAGAAGTTAATATATGAATAAAGTGTTGATGAACACGTAACCCATGGAATGGCACAAACCCCAAAAGGGTTGCAGGCAAAGCCGTGTTTAGCAAACCCTACTTTTCTGAGAGGTCTGACTTAAGTTAGGGAATAGAGATGAGAGAAGCACTCAGACAACCACCCAAACATTGAAGGAAAATGCTTCTCTGGTCCCTTTATTCCATTTATGTGGGCTGACAAGTGAGGGTAAAAACAGGTCAAAAATGGACCTGTTCTCAAACACTATGCATCATGCACAGCGGTCTTCCAAAAATTTGTTTAGCTTATACATGCAAGTTTCCACTGAAAATTCACTATGCATTCAAGTTGGGCGCTTGAGGAACAACACATCATACAGCCAAATCAGAGAACCTCTATGTACCCGGTGAATGTCCTAGACGCAAGAGAAATGCTGACTTGCACTCATGGTCCATACTCACCAGGCTTCCTGGGCTCGCTCAGCCCTTAGGAAGAGGACAGCTATATGGTTGAGAACGCTGGCTGGCCAACTGAAAGCACCCTGTTTGGTTTCTTGGCTTTCATATGTAGATTTGATGTCAGCAGCACAATCAGCAAACGCCATCTGAAGCTGAGAAGCTCTAAGAGTCAGCAGAACTGCAGAGCTGGCACGATGGTAATTTAAGTTCACATGACATTTTACCATGTGCACATGTCATGTATGTGGTACATAAAAAGAGTAAAAAGAACAAAAGGTCCTCTTCTGGGATGAATAATTTGATTATACATAGTTTCAAATTCAACTATGAATTTTCTTTTTATATAGAAACTTTAGAAACTAAGTTATATTCAGCATGTAACTTAGGGAGATAAAAATAGGGAGGAGCTACTTTCCTGCAGCTTGCCTTGAACTTACAAGAAATAGTGCATTTAAAACTGACATTCTGCTAGTAGCAATATGGTTAGCTATATCATAACCTGAATCTGGGCTTGGGAGACAGAACTCTATAATGACAGATGAAGCCAGAGAAATTATGCTGTAAAAGGACCTCAGCATTAGAGGATGACTGACGAATATAGATCTCATAATGATGAGGAAACTGAGTTTTAAGACAGTCCTACCTCCAGTGGGTGTTTATCCCTTGCCATAAGCATCAGGATTTCTTCTCTTAGGCCACTGCGAAATGTGTGACCATATTCTTTGCTGTCTTAAAACAAAAAAGAAACATTAAGAATGCTTACCAAATACTAAACTTCTGGCATTGTTGGGTTGTTAACCTTATTGTTTTGGTGCATAAAAAAAAATTTGCTGCCAGGCATGGTGGTGCATGTCTATAAGCCTGGCACTTGGGAGGCTGAGGCAGGAGAGTTCCCATGAGTTCGAGGACAGCCTAGACTACATAGCCTGAGCTATGTAGCAAACCTGTCTCAAAAAATCAAGAGGGCCAGCCTGATAGCTCAGCAGACTAAAGCACCTGCTTAGGCAGAGTGCAGCGGCCAGGGTTTGATCCCTGGCTTGCCATGCCAGGCCCGCTCATGGGGTGTGCTGAGATGGTGATTGAGACTGGCCATGGTGGCGCGTGCCTATAATCCCAGCACTTGGGAGGCTGAAAACAGGAGAATCACTACAAGAGTCTGATCTAGGTAGTGAGACCTTGTAGACCCTGTCGTGAATACAGAAACAGAAAAAAAAAAAAAAAAAAAAATCAAAAGAACCAGCAGCACAGCCCCTGACTCACAAGCTCAATGTCATGAGAAAAAAAAAGTTCTGCTATTTCCTATTTTGGGTTCATCCCAGGATTCCAGAAAACCAGTAAAATTCCAGAAACCAGTAAGATGATTAATAGTGCAAACAAATAACAGTGAAAGCACCTGTTTCCAGGCAAGTGTTAAGTACAACACATGTACCACATTTGGGCAGCCCCCCACTCCACCTACATATTTAGTCATTACAGCAGTCTTGTGCAGGGCTGGACCGTATTCCAGTTTTACTGAAAATGAGGCAGATGGATTTTATGGTAATACAGATTCAGATTAAAAGATTCAGAGTATCTGTCTCACCTCGCATCCCTACTTATACACAAGATCAGACCAACACATGTCCATGCTATAGCTCTTATTGGGAAACATGGTTATCACAGAACCAGATGATGCAACAGTGTACACAGGAGCAGCCAGGGCTTTAAGGTCACAGAGGTGCACTCAGAATCTGCCACATAATTAGCATTAACCTTCCCTGGGTCACATCACAGAGCTGCACAAAATTGAACTCATTCAAATGTCCCAAAGGGAGGAAGAAGCATTTTCAACGAAGTTTGACTCATGCAATCCTACATATGACATGAGCAAGTGATAAAAGGAACTTCAATTAGTGTATTCGGCCCAGCCTACAATGGAAATTGTGTCCGTAACAATAATGTTAACGTGTTAATCAATCTATAGGATGCTGAAGGAACACAGGCCTGATACTAACCTTCCCAAATCTGGGGAATCATTTCTAGCCGGTTGGCCACATCCAAAGCCTGGAGAAGATCTATCAGCACTTGGGAATGTGGAATGATCACCTGATGAGGAGATACACAAATATAATTTTAAGTCACTAGAAATGATACCCACAAATTCACACATGATAATAAATGAGAAGTCATGAACTTAACTTACTGAAGGTATCAAGTCTCTGTACCACTTTAAGGTGGTATCAATTTGTTCCATGAGACAAAGCAAACTGAAAAACTTGGAACTGCAATGGAGAGAAAAGGTATGTTAACATTTCTACATCTAACAAGGCTAGGCTTAGTGCAACTGTATGTACTGATACTTATGATTTTAAGTTACAGGAGCCAATGCTTGACCCAAGAGATATTAAGTATGCCTAACATTTCAATCAACACCTTCCTACTCTGAACAGGTCATTTACAACTGCCTCCTCCATGCACTCTCAGGCCCCGGCAAGCAGGTACAGAGTATCACCAGCATGTTAAAAGCATGCGATGTGAAGCAAGGATTCAGACTCACAACAGACAATCCTCACACGATTAACATGTTGCTTATCATGTTTTTATCTGCCTAAGTGCAAATTCATTGATAGAACTTCCTAGTTTCTAGTATACTGATTTTCAAGTATTTAAAGGACTGCGAAAAAATCCTTAGGGATTCTCTCTTGTAAAATAACTTAAAAATACAAAAAGGGAATGGAAAAATATATGGATCTTAAGGTATTAAAAAGAAAAAACCCTCAAAATATACACACTTTCAGTAATTGTACTTCTGCCTTACTTTCCAAGTGTTCACATATTAAATAACAGACATGCTTCTTAAAAAAAGGGATGAGATATGGAGAACCACCAAAACCCTTCCACTTTCAAAATATACTAATTAAAATAATATAATACATTTCCAAGCACACTTACTAATAGAAATTACGTTGAGAATCAGATCCAATGAATTTCCGGTTGTCTCCCGTGTTTAAAAGGCCATGAACTTGGTAAGCAAGGTCTAGATCTCTGAGGGTTGAGCACTGAAAATTTACAAGTAGTATTACTCTGACACTCTTAGAAGGTAAACAGAGGATCATCACAGAAACAAAAATGTATGATCTCTTGAGGAACACCTATAACTGATTTAATTTATTGTTTGACAGCAAATATATTTGAACTGGGGAAGAAGTTTTGAAACATTAACAAAAATTATTATGATTTAATATTATACATTTAGAAACCCTCTCCCCCCCCAAAAAAAAAAAATCACCCACAGAATACAATTCTTTCTTCCTGTGAAACACTGATTCTGATCAATAATTACGTTACCACAGAAGGATGTCTGACTGCATATTTTTTAGTGCAGAAAGGAAAAAAATTTGGAAAATATGTATGGAACTGCAAAGCAATTATCCTTGTGATCTAAAATATACTTTATTCATCCTGAAACAGCATGATACTTACAAAATTAAAGGCAAAACCAAAATCAATTTTTGTTGATTTAAAATTAACCAGCAAGGAATGGTGGTAGACACCTTTAATCCTAGTACTCAGGAAACAGACAGGAGAATAATGAGTTCAAGGACAACCTGGACTATATACTAACAATGTCTTTAAAAAAAAAATTAAATTTCAAAAAGTTAACAAATACAAAATATTTCATCAGTTTATTGAACAGAGGCATTTAAAAAAGGCAGTATGTAGGCCAAGGTAGGAACGTTATATAATTTACATGCAGACTTTAGAGAAGGAAAAACAAGTGAAGACATGAACAAAAGTTAAGAGGCAGGAAGTAAACAACCTAGTCAGAGTTAAATTCAGGAAATGTAAAGTATTCCTCTATAAAATCAGGACTACGAAATTAAACAAGAAATGGTACTTACAACATTCATAGCTGACTGAAAAAACTTATCTGGAAATCAAAGTTAATAAGGTTTTGTTATTAAGAATGAAATATGTTTTATAATAAAACCCCATAAACAAAATAAACCACCTATTTTTAAAAACAAGGAATAAAGCTAAAGGAGTACAAATAAAAGACAGAAATTTTGTCTTTCCCACAATAATTACCCAAAAGATTACTAAGATAATTAAACCCTTCCTTCATCACAAGCCCTCTAATAGCTGACACTTGGGTAAATGGTCGTGTCTTTTAATGGGAAAAACACAAGCAACTTCTGTACATACCATCATCTGGGTCCATTGGAGAAAATTTCTTTCCCATTAATTCATTCATTATACTGTAGATGATAAGTGATTGTCCCTTCACTGAGCTTCCTGCAGAATAAGAAAGCAAAGGATTTACCAGGGGTCCACTTGTACTACTATGAAATTCACAAGACCTAATGAAACTCACACTTCCTGAGTCAGGGGCTGGCAGAAAGCTGAGCAAAGGTAACTCTTATTAAAAGAAGCACCTACAGAGCTGCAGAGTCTCACTGGAATACAGTCCATATATTCCAGTCAGACTTCTTGCTCCTAACGCATGAGAAACCTGACTTTCACTGCAACTGTTTTTCTCCATCAAACACATGACTACAGGTATGTGTCGACCTTGCAAAATTAGCCCTCTAAACCAGAGAACTGGGTTTCCTTACTATTGTTTTTATACAATCTATCACAGGAAGGAATAACAAAAAGGGATACGGGGGTCCGGGGAGATAGCTCAGTAGAAAAGCACTTGCCTGGCAAGTGCAGGGTCCTGAGTTCAATCCCAGGTACTGCAAAAAAAAGAGCTACTGTATCACTCAAGGTGTTTTTCCTCAAGCGTGGGGCAAATGAGTAAGTGCCTACTATTACACATGCCTTCCAAGCAGGGTACAAGACATTCTGCATAATTCATCTCACCACCACACCCATTTAGTCCCTTTTAACATAACTGGTAATGGGCAGAGTTCAAATGTCAACTAGGATATGCCTGGTTCTGAAGTCCACGGCTCCCACAGGAACTGACCTATAAGTAGGTGACAAATGGGCTCTAAACGTCCTCCCAGATGCTTTAAACTTTTCTCTGAAGCAATACCGTCCACTTTTTTTTTTTTTTTCTTTTGTACCAGGGATTGAACTCAGGACCCTGCACTTATCAGGCAAGTGCTTATTCTACTGAGCTATCTCCCCAGCCCTGTTCACTAACTTTCTACAAAAATGAAAGTGTCCTATATTTGCAGTGCTGAATAGATAGCCACACAGGGCACTGGGCCCTAATGTCACAAAACTTTTTATTTTACTCAGGTGGCCACACAGCAGAGCTCAAGCAACCAAAATAAACTGCAAGCTAACACACCTCTGTCTATTCTTTTTTTTTTATTTTAACATTTATTGTGTGTGTGTGTGTGTGTGTGTGTGTGTGTGTGTGGCCAGCTCAGCCCACCAGGGGGCGCGGCTGGCTGGCATGTGGTGCTGGAGGATCGAACCGCAGTCCCTGTGCTTTGCCAAGCTTGTTCCAAGTAGGTGCTTTAGACCACTGAGCCATCTCTCCAGCCCACCTCTGTCCATTCTTGTTCAACAATGTCACTCCATTTAATAACCCTCTCATCTTTTCCATCACGAATCACTACCCTCAAGAATAACATTTGCTCAGGTCCTAAATGTTAGCTATGAATTTTCCATCCTTTTTAATTTTCCATTCTTAATTTAGATGCAAATAAGCTAATCTGCAACAATCATACAAACTCAAGGGACATGGTCAATCTTCTACAAAAATTACAATGTGAAATAAATTAAAATAAGACTTACCACGCTGATAAAACACCTGAATAAGATGATGGTATGTTGCAAGCGAGGGTTCTCAAATTACCGGACCGATTAAAAAAAAAAAAAAAAAAAAGTAAAAATATAGCTACCCAAGTTCAGCTGAGGTACACTGAACTATAATACTGACGCTCATATTTAAGCAAAAAACGCCCATCTATTCTTTGAAACAGACATTTTACAGCACATCTTGTTAGTGTAAATAATATGAATATAACTTCATTGAGAATCAAGCATGAAGTGATCTCCAAGCAACCTTCTAAGTAATTACTGAAACAGACACACAATTGTGTTCAAATAGTTATGCCAGAGAAATGTCATGGAATTTGAAACCATCTAATTGAAAGGGATCAGTTCTCCTCAGAGTCAAGACCTGGTGCTCCACCGGCACAATCAGTTAGCATGTGCTACTTTTACAGCATCCAGATTTACAAAAAGACTAACACTAAAGTAGCACCGTAGTTTGCTGTAAAGAACACAGAGATGATGAAAGTGCTCCCCATGATAGGAAGTGCCTTTGTCCCTTGGCATCTAGGAATCTTCAGATTCTCAAGTCCCTCAAATAGAGTAATATATAATTCATGTCTCATTAATTTAAAATCATCTCTAGATCACTTGTAATACCTAACACAAATATTATATGAATATCTGACATACAATATTGTTCAGAAACTAACAAAAATTTTCTTCTCCAGATACTTCTGATCTGCAGTTGAATCTGTGGACACAAGAGCCGAATGCACAGGTAACTAACTGTGCCAACAGTGGAAAGGAAATTCCCAACATACTACAGCATATACACAGCAAAAGAAACCCACATCTCCGGTGCTTACGTGGCCCTGAAACCCTGGTGAGCAGTCTCGTCTTCCCTGAGAACTCTGAGGTGCACTCTTACCTATTCCAATGGCTTTCATTTCACGTAAGGTCTGTAAGGCTGACAGTTTTCCAAAAGTATAAAATCTTCGCACATGTTTTATAATGGTATTAAAAGTCTGTAGATTTGGTTTCACCTTCTGTGCAACCATATGGTTCAGCAGACTCTAGGTCAAGCACAAGTAAGAAATAATTTTTATTCCTTGGTAATTAACGTTACTTATGTGAACAGAGAAAATTTAGCTTGTTATATTTGAGGCAGGGTGATAACTACAATATATCCCTAATTTAAGAACTGTCTGCTAATTAGCAGGACCAGTGATTCTGCCTTTTAGAGAAGCCTAAATCACCCACACCACTTGACCTAATTGTCTTTAGGCTTCCACCTAATTAAAGGAAAAAACAACACAGAAGACTAAAAGCAGTGTGATGTAAAAACATATTTATATCCCTAAATTACTAGACAACAATCAAGCTAGTGATTTCAATTTGTTACCCAACAGACATTGGTCAGATTTGTGGAAAAAAAAAAAAAAAATCCTATTACACAAAAAGTAATCTACTCTTCCTGAATTCCAACTCTAGGCTCTAGGTCAGGCTACTTTTTCTTTCTTTTTTTTTAAAAAGAAGCTTTATTTTTATTTATTTTTGCGTGTGTGTGTGTGTGTGTGTGTGTGTGTGTGTGGCCAGCTCAGCCCACCAGGGGGTGGGGCTGGCTGGCATGTGGTGCTGGGGGATTGAACCGTGGTCCCTGTGTTTTGCTAAGCTTGTTCTAAGTAGGCGCTTTAGACCACTGAGCCATCTCACCAGCCCCCAGGCTACTTTTTCTTCTCAGGTGTCAGACACAGTTACTGAACTTAGTGCTGCTGGAAGTCAATAAATAGGCTGACTGCTATGTGAGAGCAGTCACTGGCATACAGATGCTACCGGCACGCTGTCGCCATCCCGCATGGAGGGAAGGACTACTAGAAGACAAATAAGGATTCCTCCTTACCAGTATATTAATCCATCTCTCCTCGTATCTTTCATTTGCTATCAACGCTGTTGCTTCAATCAGTGCATTAAAAGTGTGTACGTCAGCTGTAAAGATGAAACAAAATATGTAGGCCAACAACTGAGGCAGGACCCAAAAATTTCAGACTCTTGAGAGAAAGAAAAATAAGGAAAGATCTCACTCAAACTTACCTCGGAGTCTGTTATTTAATAATTCAGTGTACAAGTTCAGTGCCTGTGTGTGAGCTCGATGCTGAAGAGGAGAAGCAAAACCCAATCACCATTAAAGTCACTCATTCACATCCACTGTGCTAGGGAGGGCATGTAGCAGTGAACACAACAGACCAGGCCCCCATGCTAAGGAGCCTGTATTCTGGTACAGTGGTTTTCTACCCAGGTAGCATTGGGAGATATAAATGAAGATTATCTGTAGCAGTCACAACTGAGGGTGAGAGAGGAAAATAATATATTCAATGGAGAGAGGCCAGCAAGCTACTAAAACATTCTAAATACACAAGCCAATCCCCCAACAAATCATCAGGCACACTTATAAAGGGTGAGTATTCCTAATCCAAAAATTAGGTAAGAAATGGTATGAAGTTTGAAACTTAGTGAGCAATGATACAATGCTGGCAAGCAGAAAACTCTCTACTTGCTCCTGTGTGACAGGTCACAGACCAAAGGAAGACCCACAGACATTGTACAAAATTATTTTTGTGCAAAATCATGTCACCTAGACATCTCATTATATATATGTAAATATCCCAAATCCTTAATCTGAAACCCTACTTCTGGTTCCAAGCATTCTGCACTCAAACTGTAGCTGTGAGGTTGCAAACCCCGACTTAGTGGACCTTAAGCATAAGTAAAACAAGTGTACCTTGACCATTCCCCGGATCATTGTGCAATAGGAATGTTCATTCTTCTCTGGCATTAGAGCAAAGATTCGTTCAGCATTGTTATTTGTCCTAGGTATTAACAGGATAAACATGAAGCAAGGGAATAGGGAAAACCAATAAACCGTCACCACTACTACTGACAGTTTTCAATACTCCCGAGAAGTGTCAAGCACTTTTGGCACAGAATCTCAAGTAACCCTTACTGCCCACAGGCAGATATGGTTGTCATTGTCTTGCAAATGGGAAAGATTAAGTCAGAAAGACTTGAAATTGCCTGCAGCACTGCAAACAGGAGACATGACAGAAATGAAACGCTTATCAACAAGCAGTAATTCTCACACACAGTAATAACAAGAAATAAGCTGTTTCAATCCTCAGACAGAACTCCTCAGAGGCAAACCACTAACAACAGTCCCCTTTGAATCTCTCCTTTCATCATTGCTTCTCCTCGGTGTTTTGGCTAAGATCAAGTGAATCTGTCCTGTCATATTCTACCCTAAATACATGTATCTCTTCTAGTATTTTAAAAAAAAAAATCTTTCTTCAAAGCCCATGCATGCCCCTATCTGAAAAAAGATTAATAATGTTTAACTACATTGAGAATTTATCTGAGTAGGAGTATCTACTTAGGAGAAAAATGGGCTTTCTTCATGTGGTACATAGGTAAGGATTATACATAAAATGTTATTTCTTGTTTTTTTGTGGAGCCAGGGATTGAACAAAATGTCTTTTCTGATGAAGGGTAAGGACTGAAATTCCAATTCCTGTGGCATTTTTACTTCTCTACAATGTTTACTTCTCTAGATGGTTTTTCTCTAGTATGAATTCTCTAATAGTGATGAGATGTGAATAAGTTACTCACATTATTCAAAGTGACCCAAATCAACCCAGATATTTAATCTACCCTTCCACGACATTCATGAATTCAAAATGAGTTTGCTTTCTTCTGTTACTTGAAATATTTTTCTATGAGATACTCCTACTCAGATGAATTCTCATTGTAGTTAAATGCTATTTATCTTGTTTTTAGAACTACTGAGTAACTGAGTATTTCTGTGTATCAAGTCTTTTTATTTTCTCAGTGCTGATGACTGAACCAATGGACTCCTGCATGCCACGCAAACCCTCTCTCTGTTGAGCTACATACCCACACTAGTCAAGTCTTAATTCAAAATCACATTCTAGTGTCTTGTGTATTTTTAGTAAACAAAGCTATCAAAAATTTCAGAATTAAGGGTATACATTTAAAAGTAGCACTACTGATCAAACTATCAAAGGCCACACCATGCGAAGAATAAGCCAAATTAAATAAAGAAAAACAAAACAAGTTTGAACCCTGAAAAGATTTTTTGTAGTGCTAGCTGCAGGTAAAAACTTTGTAACAAAACGTCCAAATCATATAAATATGAAATTTATATTACATGATAAAAGCAATCTCTTTTTGTTTACTTTATGAGACAGGGTTTCACAAGATATTCCAGGCTGGCCTCTAACTTGCTACAGCCCTCCTGCCTCAGCCTGCTGGGTGCTGGGATAGAGATGCCCACTGCCAATTATTTTAGAGCATCATCTTTAGGAGGTGTAGGGCCTATTTACACTGTATGAATGATATCATCACACAAAGCTCTAAGTATGTGTAACTTACTTCCAAGTAGTGTACAACTGATGACCAGTCTTCCCCTTGGATTTCTCATTTTCCTCTGTGGCCTCTTCCTGGATTATCACAAGAAACAAAAAAGACAACGGAACATAATCTCCCAATCAGACCACTTATAACTACAAAGGCAACTGAGAAAAACAATCTAAGACCTTTTGTTTCAAAGACTAAACCTTGCCCTTTGCGTTAGAAGGCAGGCTCCAGGATGAGGCACTGCAGAGACTAGGGCTGGCTCTCGTCTTCTGCCTCACGTGCTGTGGCAAGGGGCAGAGGGCAGCTGGGATGGGCTGCAGGTGATGCTCTGGAAAGCAAGGTGACCTACAACCCACTGCATGTGCACTGCAGAAGACTTGTGTTACTCCACATTAGTAGAGAATAAAAATGGAAAAAAATATCAATAATCCTATGATCTAAAAAGGAAACTTCTCTTTTTGGAAGTACACTGAGACACAATTCCAAGCCCTTTTTGAGACAGGGTCACACTAAGTTGCGAAATTGCCAAGGCTGTGCCTGAACTTGCAATATGCCTTCCTCAGTCCCCCAGAGTATGGCAATTTTGTACATGTCACCATGTCTGAGAAAAAACTCTTAATGACTTTTTAATTACTTTTTTTTGGTACAGGGTCTCACTTAGCAGCTCAGATTCGGAGTGATCGTCCTGTCTCAGGCTCTCCAGCACTGGGATTACAAGTGTGCACCATCACCCCATCTTGCTGGCCAGCACAATGTGCCCAGGGTTCTAGGGCCGGCTCAGCATGAGGTACTAGGAATTGAACTCAGGTCCTTCTGCTTACCAGGCAGCTGCTTAGGCTACCTCCCCAGCCCAATGACTTTTTTCTTATATATATATACAAAAGTTCAACAAAAGTAAAATACACACAGGTTATATTCCTTATGTGAAATGAGTGTTTGACTTTTTTTTTTAATTCATGTTTGGTTTTTTTTCTTCAGAATTTTGACTTTGGAATATGTGCATATATGAGGTATCTTAGAAACAGGACTCAAATTAAAACATGAAACTTGGGGACCAGAGATACAGCTCAGCAGCATAAGTGCCTGCCTGGACAGCACAAGGTGCTGAGTTTAATACCTGGTACCGCAAACAAAACAAAACAACAACAAAAAAAACCCATATAACTCACATCTCACATATATAGGACACACAATATAACATATTACAGTACTTTTAATGTGTCTGAATTTTGATGGCAAACTAAGGTCAAGTGTAGAATTTTTCACTAGTGGTACTCTAAGTTTGAAAACTTGAGGAATTTGGTTTAAAAAAATTTTATCAGGGATTTCAGATTAAGGATGTTCACCCTATATGTTGTTGTACATTGTTCTCCATTTATACAATGAACCTTCATATTCAAATAAATGCCTAATGATCTCAATGGCTATTCAACTGTCTTATAATTTGATCATCCACTAATGGAAATCTAATTACAAGTATAAAATCTGTATTACAAAAAAAGTCATATGTATCTTCACTCACTTGACTCAAGGGATTCCCCAAAATTCATCCTATGAATAAAATCCTTTTTTTTTTTTTTTTTTGTATTTTAGGGCAGGGTCTACAGGGTGTTCAGGGTCTCACTACCAGATCAGACTTGTAGTGAACCGCCTGTTTACAACCTCCCAAGAGCTGGGATTACAGGTGCACCCCGGCACAGCAGGCCAGGGAATCAAACACCCAGCCCCTGAGCCTGCTTGCAGGTGCTTTAATCCGCTAAGCTATTTTGGCCAGCCCTCTATGAATGAAATCGAGTTTTGATAAACAGGATGAGTTCACCCAACAGGTAGCCTACAGCACAGCACCTCTACCTCTAACCTAGAGTACTCCCTTCTTCCTACACACTCATACTTATGAATTTTTAAAAGGTTCAAACATGCAGCCTGTCTGTGCACGCCCATTATAATCATGCTGTCATTGCAAAAGAAGGGCTGATCCAAAAATTTCTAGTCAAGGGTTTTGGGTGAATACATAGTAAGAATGATTTTTTTTTTTTGGCTGGCTCAGGCTGCCTTAAGGGTGGGTCTGGTAATGCAGGTGGAGGTGGGGATCGAACTGCACTATGCTGCACCTGACTGCATTTCCAGGAGCAGGCGCTTAAATAACTGAGCTAACCGGCAGGCCCCAACATAATTGAGGGCAAAATATTCTAAGCATAAGACTAAAGTTAAAATAACTATTTAAAATTCTCTTTTGGGCCAGGGAGATGGCTCAGTAGAATAAGCACCTGCCTGATAAGCACAAGGACCGGAGTTCAATCCCCAGTTCTGCCAAAAAAAAAAAAAAAAAAAATTTCTCTTTTCTCCAGCACCATTTTTTATATGGCTACTGTACTATACTTCAATAGTTGTCTTATTAGGGAGTGGGGAGATGGCTCAGTGGAATAAGCATTTCCCTGGCAAGCACAAGGACCTGAGTTCAATCCATAGTTCTGTCAAAAAACACAGTTCTGCTACAATGATGTATGACACAGGAATATTCTATTTTGAGAGGGTATTAATTAAACTAAAAAACAAAGCCAAAAGTCATTACCAATTCTTCTGACTGATGAGTTTGTTGAAAATGATATTCGGCAGGGGGCTCTTGGTCACCATAGTAACACAACAAATCCAAGAGACTATTGGTTGTTTCAAGAGAGACAGCAGTTCCTATGGGTAGAAGAGAAAGACAAAAACTTCACACTGTCAAAAACTAAAGCTTGGGGGCCAGGGAGATGGCTCAGTGGAATAAGCACTTCGCTGGCAAGCGCAAGGGCCTGAGTTCAATCCCTGGTTCCGCAAAAAAAAAAAAAAAAAAAAAAAAAAAAAACTAAAGCTTGTTAAATTGAAACCTTTCACTTTTTCTATTAGCAGAAGCATTTTTGGTTATATACCTGTTACACTTTATTAATGACCACACACTCAATATCAACCCATACAAAAGCCATGAGAACAGGGACAAATCCTCAACTAATAAATATAGTTTGACAAGAATAAAATACCAGATGAAGTTTGACCCTGCGCTCATTTGCTTTATATATTCCTACCCTTACTTCCTGGTTTTAACTATCAACTCCAAAACAACTATTCTGCAAACTATTTCCATTTAGTTCCCCTGGCCTAGACCATGTGAACAAACACAAACGATCATCCACTTGGATCCACACCCTCACTAAAATCCTGCCTAAAAACACTAGCAAAAGTGACTAATTATAGTAGCCATTAAGAGCTTATTCATTGCAAGCTGCAGCGCTGACAAAATTCAAAGCCAAAAAACCTTTTATTTAAAACATGCTCCAGGTGGGCATGGTGGGTCTGTAATCCCAGAACTCAGGAGGCTGAGGCATGAGGATCACCATGAGTTGAAAGCCAGCTGGGCTTCACAGTGAGACCCTATCTAAAAATAAAATAAAATTAAAATATAATAGCTCCCATCTTGACACTCATTAAAAGGACAGAGGAAAGAGAGAAGATATGAGATATAATTTACTACTTTAAAAGAATCAACAGAGGGGGCTGGGGAGATAGCTCAGTGGCACAAGTGCCTGCCTGGCGAGTGCAAGGTCCTGAGTTCGATCCCTAGTACCAAAAAGAAAGAAAGAAAGAAAGAAAGAAAGAAAGAAAGAAAGAAAGAAAGAATTTAAAAAATAAATAAATAAATAAATAAAAGAATCAACAGAATCTAAATAAAATACACTGATAGTAAAAGTGCTCACCCAGAAACTTAAAAGCCCAGAAAAGGGGAAGCAGAGTAAAGAGGCCACAACCAAGTCTTATTATCTTAGGGTTGTGCTAACCTAAAAACATGGCCTAAAGTCAATTTACTTTATGAAATAACTACTAAACACATCACCTTAAAAGGTGCTACAGAATCCAATGAAGTAAACGAAATGGCCAGCAGAATGTATGGGCCTTACAGGTGGTGAACAACGTACTTGTCCATCAGCCCTCCCCAGTGAGCTGGCTCACTGTTACCAAACTATGGTGAGACACTTGGGGTTTTAAGACTGTTCACTAGGTGACAGCATGCAACAAAATCACAATGTGTACAAACTATAAAATGACTATAAAAGAATACATGGGACTAAGAACTTGCATGTAGACTGACACCAGGTGTTGACTGCATTTGATGAAGAAGAGCCTCACCAATTTCTAATCTGCTGCCATGACTCAACTGTACACCTCATCCTATAACAGCTTACATACCAAAATTCCCCAATGCAGCTTTATGCAAATGTCTGTGCTCAAGTAGAGTGGTCCAGTCCAGCTTCATTAGTTCGTTTACCAGATTTTCATACCAAATCACCAAAAAAAATTCCAAATTCCAAAACTGAAACAATGCCAGCTGACTTTGATGTCCTGTACAAATATTCTCATTGCAGTGAATCAGCCACACTATTTAGATGTATATCCCTGGAGGTTTAGCCAGAGCAGAGTGCCACAGGATTTCAGAGCTAGAGGATAAAGAATTAAATGACTTTCAAGGCCACAGAACAATCAATGCCAGAGCCAGCACCAGTATCAAACCCCGGATCCTATCTGCTTCACGTGGCCCTGCCTTCCAACTCAAGACATACACATGCCTAATTTTAGAAATGGAAGCTAAACAAAGAAAAGCTATATAATTTCTCTACCAACACCATAGCTATAGCTCAAAACAACTACAAAAATGCAACTTTTTTTGATAAGTGATCAAACTCAAAGCTTCTCACATGCTAGGTAAACACTACACCATGAGATACACTCTTAAGAGCCCACAAAATTGTAATTCAATCTCACTTATTTTAAAACAAAAGTAGAGTAGGACATGAAAGACTTGCTGTTACGGTTTGTGTATAGGTGTCCCCCCAAAGCCTCATGCAGTCTTGGGGCAGCTTCTGGAGTTTGTGATTATTGTGGGTGTGGATGCTACACCTGCCCTGGGGCAGGTAATTTGCATTACAATGTAAGGTGGGAAGAGAAGCTGGCTGCTTGAGCTGCTGCTACCCCTCCCTTGTGCTCTTGCTCTTTGCTGCTGCCATGAAAGGTTGCTTTCTGCTCTGTGCTGCTCTGCCTTGGACCCAGCTGAGTATGGACTGAAGCCTCCAGTAACTGTGAGCTAAATAAACCTTTCCTTCCTTTATTTTGAGTGTTGGGTATTTGTCCCAGCAACGAGAGAAGAGTAACTAAGACACTCACTAAACTTAAAAACAGAAACAACACAGTTAACAAGAAAAGTATGCTATTTCCCAGATCATATAACTTTGGCCTATGAGGAGGGCATCTTTAAAGTAAGTCACCTGCTTGCAAGAGCTGATCAAACATGTCCACAGAAGCTTTGACTTTTCTGAGCCGGATTCGTTCCTTCAGGGCAGCTTCACTTATATCTTCTATCAGGGGTTCAAAGTATTCAGGCATTAAACACTAGGAAGACAAAATGGCTCAAGTTATTACAAACAGGGAAAGGTGAGGAGGTAAAGTAGGACAGCACTTCTGTCACCAATACCGCAAATAAAACCACATAGCTCCAATTTAGTTTTCTTGCACCAGATATTATTCATCACTTCAACATGAATGCTAAGAAATAACAAGAACTGTGTATTCTTAATCAAGTTTGAAAATGACTAATCTGTATCTGAAGACCCCTACACTTCCAACCAAACTTCCCAAATTCAAGCTGACCTTATTCTTCCACCTGCTAAAAATTGTTCTTCCTTTACTCCCAATCTTAAATTAAACTGGAAATTTGCATCCTGGATGATGCTTTTCCTCTAAGCATTGAATACCAGCAAGGTAAGATTGTATCTTCTTCACTAATTTTAATTCTTGTCAGTATATGGTCATGAGGAGCCAGCCTATGTACATAATACATTTTAACTCTTTCTTCTCCCCTCCATTTCTTGATCCTCTTCATTCACTAATTTATTCAAATTACTTTTGAGTGGGTATAACTTTACTGTAGGCACTAAGTGAGGAACCAGGGATAGAGATAAAATAAAGGTATGATTTACCCTCAAAATACTTCCAGTCTGAGAAAGCAGATGAAGAAATCATTACAAGGATGAGGGAATAGCCCACTAATACGTTTCTACAAGGTTGAGATGATTTCCTAGCATCCCAAAAACTTCCCAATGTAATATGAAAGGTGTTGGCCACCATAAAAATAAGACTTTTGAATGACTTCAAAAAAAGAATGGCTTTGGGGCTTGGGAGATAGCTCAGTAGAATAAGTGCTTGCCTGGCAAGAAGAGCAAGGGACTAAATTCAATCCCCAGTTCCACCAAAAAAAAAAAAAAAAAAAAAAAAAGTGGCCTTGAAGCTAAGTACAGGAACATAAATGTCAAAAACATAAAGGGGACAGAGCAGACCAATAAACGATCATTCTACAATTGGCACCATTCCAATTCAGGAATTTTTAAAGAAAATTAGCAAGGAAACTTAAGAAAGACACACTGGGAAGGAGTGGACAAAGAGCTATCGGACTGAGGAGGAAAAGTCAGAGACCAAGATCCACCAGAGTGGTACCACATAAGCCAAACAGGGAAATAGGATGAAGAACAATCAGATACAAAAGGATTTTAGAAGCTTAGTAAATCATTTTCATTTACATTTTTGTTGCTAGGATTATAAAGAATGTCTTCAGAGAATTTAAATGGCTACTTAAATTTAACCATGAAAATTTAAGTTCATTTCCATTTATATAGGATTATGTGAAAAATGAAATTATTTGTTACCGGTATATGAGGCTCAGCTATGTCCTTCTGAAAATATTTGGGATGTGAATTAATAATAAATTTTGCAGCATTTTCCCCAGACTTCTTTGCCAACAAAAATGAACGCTATTAAAAATTAAAAAAAATAAAAAAATTAGGTAGAAATTGGCATTTAAATACATTTTAGGTTCAAGCAAGTTCAAAATTACAATCTAAGTATTCTCCTTTTCTAAAGAAAAAGAAATGCCGTACAAAATGGAATCCCAATTATAAATTAAATTACTGCACTTCACATATCCAACCCTTGTAATGAGTATGTGTAATTCCTGGTTATGTACAGGTGAAAGTATATAAAAACAATACATTTAACTGAATGGCTTTCTACAGTACGAGAAGCCCTAAAATTAAAAGCCAAAATCAAAAACGCCAGAGACAATCTCAAAAGCTTTCTAACAAAAGCAGTAAAGGATTCACAAAGTCCACCAATTATGTCATCATCTATAAACTTTTCAAAGGCTTTTATAATTAAATGGTATGTACTCTCATGCTCAAACCAGTAAGATACACAAATCCTAGGAAAACAGCATGAAAATACTCACAGATTCCACAGAAGATGCTGGTATGAGATAAGGATCATCTTGAAATGCATAAGGGGTAGCTGTGGGATCCTGTGGATAGGAGACATCATTATTTATTTATTTATTTATTTATTATTATTTTTGTGGAACCAGGGATTGAACTCAGGCCCTTGATCTCGCCAGGGAAGTGCTTATTCCACTGAGCCATCTCCACGGCCCCTTAGGAGACATCTTTTTTTTTTTTTTTTAAATTTTATTTATTTATTTATTTATTCATTGTGTGTGTGTGGCCAGCTCAGCCCACCAGGGGGCGCGGCTCGCTGGCATGTGGTGCTGGGGGATTGAACCGCAGTCCCTGTGCTTTGCCAAGCTTGTTCCGAGTAGGTGCTTTAGACCACTGAGCCATCTCTCCAGCCCAGGAGACATCTTTTAAGCTATCTTTTTACTAAGACCTTATTTTTGGTAATGATTCTATAAAATAGGTTGTAATTATGCACGTTACATTCAAGAACATGTACATATGTGTGCATGTATAAAAGAGATATTAATACAGATAGCACACTGTCATCCCATGAGACTTGTACAACTAAAGCAATTAGCAGCTGAAATGCCCACGGCTGATTCTTAAGACTTGAGTCTATCAGTGAGGACTACTGCTATTTTCAACTCTCGGTAAGGAATTCTGGTACCAGTTTCCTAGTAGGTTTCCTTCAAAGCCTGGCCACTGTCCACCCAACTTTATCCAGGAGTCCTTCCTAAAAGTAGAAGAAATACTGGGTTTCTCAGGTGTGAACAGCAGCTGTTCCTCCAGCATCCTGTTGCCCAAAGTTCTACATTACTCAAAACTGTTCCTGATGGAAGTGGCGACAAATGCTTATAATCACACTGGGAGGCTGAGGCAGGAGGAGCAAAAAGCTCAATCCCAGCCTGGGCCCCTTAGTGAGACTCTGGCTTAAAATAAACAATAACAAGGACAAAATTTCTACCTTACCCTTGGCAAAAATCAACTCAGCAGTACAACTGATCAACCACATCTCCTTAGCCTCTGATACGGCTATCTGGGCCTCCTGAAACCTGTCTCCTGAATCTGACTGTGCCTTTGCTGTCTTTCTTGCCTAACTGACTTGCAAGTGTCCTGAGATCAGAGCTTTCCTGAAGTTCTCAGAGAAACTGATTATATCTGGTGATCTGGAGGCAATTTGTTTACTTGCCCTAGTTTTCTGCAGCTACTTTCAAAATCTTTATCACTCAGGGGAGGTTCATTTCAGATAAACAGCAGATAAATAAAAGCCAGCCAGACACAGCATTTCGATGTTAGCTGCCCTCGATCACACCTGTTACTATGACTGTTCTCAACCTACTGCCAAAGTCTTCATTACTGTTAACTTAGTAAGACCTGCTCAAGCCTCTACTTTTGTTGACATGCTCATCTCCTTCTAGACTCATTCTTCCTACCAGTCTCCCAATTTTCTGCTCAGTGTTTCTCAATCTTCTGTAGACTCCTAATAACTTCTCCAATGGCTCAGACACTTCAACCTGAGGTTCCCAAAGAGGGAGTCACTGTCTCAGTGAACTGCAGAGACCTTTTCTCAGGTTCAGCCAACTCTTGCTCCTTAACACTCTCCAGCTAGTCTGTTCTCTCCTACTGCAATAATCATTGCTCATTTATTCACCGACCATTAAATGCCTTGTATGTGCCAGCCATTATTATAGTTACCAGAAACAACACACAAAAATCTTTACTCCCAACATTAATAGAAAAATCTCCACAAAACGACTACTACAGACTAGGTAACAATATATGGATGTGTCTAAAGAATCTGCCTGCTGAGAAACAGCATGAAAGCCACTCTTGAATTCTAGGAAGAATAATAGGACCCAAAGCCACCACAGCTGCTGAACTGAGAATGTTTGTAGGAGGCTGAAGCAAGAGAGGACAGACACTGTTATAACTATTAATATCAAAGATGTGCAACATTAAATGTTCTATTAGCAGAGTTAAAAGCTAAGAACAAAATATCACTTACCCTGTTTACTGTGGATGCCAGTGCCTGAAGAACAGCCACTTTATCCCTAGGAGTAGCAATCAAAGGTTAACCTCATCAGTGATTCGCATATTCAGAGTGAATAGGTAATTCTGCTCTCAGTGTCTCTCCACTAACAGCTCAGGACTCACCTCCAGCTGGCACCTACTTTCTCAGGCCCAAGTCAGAAAATGAGAAGTGTCTGGTTCTTTTCCCTGGAGGTGTAGTACTCACTTGTGCATCCGTGTGCTTCGCCTGCACTCTCAGGACCGGTCCCTAATATCATCACCCTGGGCTAGAGATTCCCGCCTCACTTCATAGAATTACCTTGCTGCCCTCTTCCTATCCACTTTCCTGCATGTTTTTACTGTAGGTTTCAGGACTACTCTTGCCAAACTGGAGATACTTAATGCAGGAATAGATGAAAATACACAGGTTCCACTCTGGACCTATCAGAGCCTCCAGGATCCAGGGGAGACTATCACATGCATCTTTCTTAAATTCTCTAAGACTGTAGACATAGAGCCCTTTAACCACATACTACCCAATAGTAAGAACTAAGGTCAGCTAAGCACTTTGTCACTTGACCGAATGGTTTCAGAGCATAAATAATAAATGAGTATCTGGTTAAAATCTATTTTTACTCCTTTGTTAGATTTAATGCGTTGCATTTCTAAGACAGTTAAAACTCTTACCAAATTACATCTAACATAATAAACAAATGCCAGTGAAAAAACTGACATATTATTACTCACTAGCTTTCTTTCTTAAAAAAAGATTAATGTAATCACAATGAATATATTATCTTAAAAAAAAAAAAAACCTAAAACCTAGGCTTAAAAAGTTAAGGTAAAGGATCAGGTGTCATCCTGTGACCTGACCCTACCAAGAGTGGTATTCTTTGAACAGTATTTTTGCCACATATATTGCCATAAAGTGTCACTCTACATATTTATGTAAGTCAAATTATACCATCAAATGTCAGCTACATACAGACCTAATTCATTTATGTTCTACTGTAACATGACTACTTTTATTTTCTTGTACTATTTACTCATCAATGAGAACTTAGGCTGTTTTTAAATTGTTCTTATCCCCACATTATGAAGAATGCTTTCATCCATGTCTCTTCGGGTTTATATGCAAGTGCTTCTAAGCAGCCAAGCAGCAAGGATATATATTTCAAATTTTAACTAGGTCAAATTTTCCTCTAGAATCTTAACAACTTACTGACCTAGCAACAAATTCATTCAAGCCACTCAACATCTTGTTAATCTGATAGTCTTTAATTTACATTTTTGAGTCCTGTGCCTAATGTACTGATCAAAATTGGGCTCATTTCCCTAAAATAACTACATAATTTAGATTCACTGAATCAAAACATTGCCTTTCCTATGCTATATTTGTGTAGGAAAACTCAGTCACTACTGACAAGTTATAAGGTCTTTCATGGCACCTATGCGATCTAGAAAACCAGAACCTATGGTTGTTTTAAGCCAGGCGGTGATGAACACCTATGCTCCCGGCACTCTGGGACGCCAAAGGGGGAAGTCTGAGCCCAGTCTAGGCAACTTGATCAGACCTATTTTCAAAAAAAGAAAAAGAATTAAAAAGGGCTACGGATTTATAACTCAGTGCAGAAGCACTGCGTATTGAGAAAAGAAAACGGGTTGATCTCTAAAGTAAAGCAAGAGAAATTTGTGTCCCACAAGACTTCTTCCAGATCTGAAAGCACAGATTTCTTAGTCTGGCAATAAGAGGCTTTGTACCAGAGATCAACATACTTTTTTTTGATAGAGATAGATAATAAATAGTTTGGAAAATAAATAGTTTGGGCTTTGGAATTAAAACCCTAGTGAAATAATAAATATTAAAAGTACAGTACACCTAACAATTCAACTCTAAACATGTATGTACATCTTATGTAAAAACAGATAGGGTTATATACCCCAACACTTAAAAATAGTAACTATAACTGATTAAGCTCTATGTGATCCTGCTCAAAATGCTGATACAGTCCTCTGAAGTCAGTGCTATCATTTCCCATACTTTACATTGTGGCAAAGAAATTCAGCAATTTACTTCTGAGTAGTGGAACTGTCAGTAATTTCGTTTCCTTTTTCAAATTAGATTGACCACCCCATCTTCTCTTTGGCAATAAACATTAATCACTTCTATAATTTTTAAAAGCTTGTTTTAAAAAGATGAAGATGGGTCTCGCGGTTATACTCAGAATACTAAAACTAGGCTTATTTAAGGGACTTTATTCAATAAAATCATGTAACAAGCACTTCAATGAGGTTTTACTTCTTAACACATGCAACAAATGTTGAGACAAGGCCATTTGTTCAAGGAGCTATCCAATCAATGAAAAGCTCGATTCTGAGGTCTACTTTTCTTTTTCGGCGACAGGGTCTCTCTCTGTACTTCAGAAGGATTTTTTTTTGGCGGCGGGAGGGGGGAGCCAGGGAGGGCTGGCTCAGGATGCCTGTAGGGCAGGTGTGGTAAGGCCTGAGGATCTGGGGATCCAGCAACAGTATCCTGGTCCTGAATGCTTTGTTTAAGCAGGCACTTAAACAACTGAGCTAATGGGCAGGCCTCCTCTATGTACTTTAGTCTGGCCTCGAACTCACTGTGTAGCCTGGACTGGACTCAAGTGCTGGGAGTATAGTCATACACTACCATGCCCAGTTCTTTTTTTCCTTTATAGAAATCTTACGTCTCTTACGCTTTCCACCTTCCTCCTTTAGGCCCCTGAAACTCCCCAGCATTCCCTCTCACCTCCTCTCTTCCCAATTGTCACCAATTCCTGCCTGACTAGAACCTTATGTCTTGGTCAGTAAGCAGTAATCACTTGCTGAATGAATATCCATTGAATACTCACCAAGTTTTCTTTTTTGGAATGATTACTTCTTCAATTCCTTAACGAGAAAAAACAAGTCAGCTTCTTAATATTACTACTACATACAATGTCTTGATAAAAAATGCAACTATTTCAATAGAGTTAATGTACCTGTTACATCAGTTCCTTCAACCTTTGGGTGAACTATGTCTCCAGTATAAAATCTGCAAAAAATGGAAACTTTAGCTAATAATACTCATTTAATAAAGTTACCAGCTCACTTCTAGTTACATGCATTTTGAGACCAAATGTTCCAATTACCATGGACCAAACAGACTGGATAGTTCAGGTCACTGTTTGTGAGGCCCTCATGGTAAAATCCAGTTTCACTTAAAAAATTTGTATAGCAAAGCTAAAGACCATCACCCATGGCCTTTTATTTCACATCTTCCAAGAATCAGAGATGCATCAAATTCAAAAGATGTAATTTGTACTTAAAATTTCTATTGTTTTAGTAAAGGCTCAAGTACTAAAACCTTAATCCAAAATATACAATCACTGGCCCAAAAGTGAGTTTAACAATATTCCGATCACACTAAAAATATGGTCAATGTCACACAAACAATGGGCATGATTAATATTACCTCATGAATTCCCTTGGTAAATGGCATCAGTACAATTTAGAAAACCGAGATGTCATTACATGGAAAAATACTTCCTCCACTACATCTGGTCTGAGGCATCATTTGAAGACAATAATACTTCTCTCCTAAAGGTATTTTGGAAAAGAACCAACTCTTACATATCATGCTAGGTTTCTTGTAACAAAAGAACAGAGAACGCCACTGTCTTGAAAACAAATGCTGAGGGAGGGATGTTGCTGTCAGGGAGACCACCTGGGTAGACAAATGTCAACATTAAGCACAACCAGGAAGAGGAAGACTGGATTTGAACTGCATAAAGGCTTCTGCAGCCAGGCCTGGTGGCTGACATCCGTAACTGCACACAGATGCTGAAGCAAGAGCACTTCCATAAATTTGAGGCCAGCCTGGGCTACATAAAAGTTCAAGGCCAGCCTGAACCACACAGTGAGACTATCTCAAAGTAAGAAAAAAGCTTCTGCAATACCAGGCCAAGTGTTCTCTCTTGAGGGGAACCAAGAGAAAGTACAGATAAAATACTTATAGTAAACTATGTATCTTATTATTCCCCACAATTTTTTTTCACATGGTTATCCACTTAGAATTTATTTACTATCACCCAACTGAAGAAGAGGCAAACACTATAAACACTGAATCTAGAATCAGGTTTTCCTTAGACTGGAGCTTAGCTCACTGGTACAGTGTATAATTAGCATGCATGAGGTGCTGGGTTCAATCGCCGGCACCAAAATTTTACATAAATAAAGCAAAGGCTAGGTATAGTGGCACACACATGTAGTCCCAGTACTCGGGGAGGATATCAAGTTTGATTCAACCTGGGTAACTTAACAATTTGAGAGCCCCTTGTCGTTTGATTTTTTAAAAAAGCTTTAAAGAGGCTGGGGATGCAGTTCATTGCAAAAGCCATGCCTTAAAACCTCAGTACTTAAAAAAAAAAAAAGAAAAGAAACTAAACTGGGGAGAAACTAAACTGGGGAGACAGCTGGGAGACCTAAGCGCCTGCCTGTGCTTGGCAAGCAAGCACAAAGCGCAGCGTTTGCATGCCTGGTGTGGCGCACGCCAGGCCTGTAACTCCAGCGCTGGGGAGGCTGAAAACAAGTGGCTAACTACACATAGTGAGACCCTGCACCAAATACATAAAAGAATAAAGAAAATTAAAAAATATAAACTTAAGGTGGAAAAAAAAAAAACCTAAAGGCTGTTCCTCTCATATTTCCACAAAGACACTATAGTAATAAACATTATTTGTACAGGTGATTAATGTTCCAAGCCTTAACTACCACAGATTTAAAGGACGTGGGGGCCATGCTTCCGCTTTTACGAGAATCTTATCAATTACTTAGCCCAAATTCGCAACAACCGGCACAGTGACACTCAAGAGGTGCCTTACATTTGAGAGAACTCTTTGATGCCCCCTCCTTCCTCTCGATTGGGTTAAAACGAGTATGGGTGGATTTTATTTTATTTTTTTTTAGATGGAACTGGTATTAGTTGCATTCAGTAGAATACAAGCTTTGTGAGAGCAGGGTCCTCGTTTTAAGTGCAATTCTAACTTAAAGGTATCTGTAAAATACTAATAATATATATCGCCAGAGAATCCACGTTGCCTTTGTTTTAGACAGAGCCTTGTTATGTAGTAGGGCAGGCTGGACTTGAACTCACGGTGATCCTCCTGCCTCACCCTCCCGAGTGCTTGGATTACCGGCGTGCTCCACAATACCCTGCCTAACACACGCGTTTTGTACTACTGTATTTCAAGGTCCTGGCCCTGCGCGCTAGTCCTTGAGGACATGCGGCCGCATGCGCACACCGTAAGTAACATCAGGCCTAAATCCGAAGTTCTCAGGATAATTTAGGACTAAGTTGATCCCCAGGTTTTCATCCTGGATTCCCCGAACTTCTCTTACCTGCAACTGTGTGACCGTTCACACATACAGATTCGCTGACCTGAGAGTGGCAAGCGAAGTCCGCTGCGCACCCTTAGCCAGCGAGCAGACGCGGCAACCGCCATCTTTCAATCCTTCGCAGAGCATGTTGGGAAAGCACGCCCTTGACCTTTCGGTTCTCTGAGGGAGGAGGTAAAAGTGGGCGAGGAACACGCGGCTAGAAATGGGAGGTTACGACCTCATGATTGGAAAGACTGTCCCAGCAGTTAAAGGCTCAATATTCCTCATTTGTCCTGAATAAATTTTCTAAGACCATTATTTCAACGTCTCATATATCTTTAAGCATTTTCAAAATAAAAAAGATTAAAAATTCTGAAAAACAATCTTTCTTCCCCCCTACGAAAAAGTGATCTTGCCCACGTAAATATTCCAGCCTGCGTTTCCGGCGCGCAGGCGCAGTTTGAATCACATGTTGGCTCTCCGCTTACGGCTTTTTACCAGCGGTGTGTGGAACGTCTGTTTCTGCGTGTCGGATCTCAAAACGGCCCTGGAAGATGTTGGGCTCCAAGAACATACCCTGGCGGCGGCTGCAGGGCATTTCCTTCGGGATGTATTCTGCTGAAGAGCTCAAGTAAGGAGTTAATGGGAAGCGTGGCCATCCCGGGTCTTGAGGTGGGCGCCGCGAACTACCGTTCCCAGAAGGCCTTGCGCCCAGCCTATCGGCGGAGGACCTGGTAGTGGGTCGCGAGGCATGGTTGTCGGCTGCTGTGCTCCGCTGCCCAGGCCAAGTTCCCGAGCCCGTGTGTCCTGCTTTTGGCACAGTGCGGAGGGGCCGGGGTTGCCCCGCAGCACTGCCTTATCACCCGCTGATCTCCTCCTTAATTGATTAGTGTTTGTAGAATTTCTGTAGTGACTTACACGTGGCCATTTAAGTGTAGCATCCTCATATCTATACGTTGATTGTCCTTTAAGCCTCATTTCAACTCATAGAGCAGGGTACCTGATTTGTTCCCTGCCTCGTTACAAAATCATTGGAACTCTCTTTAGTCCTCATTTTGATCACGGTACCCTTTGGCGCTTTTTTTTTTTTTTTTTTTGTCTTTTTTTTCTTTTTTTGCGGAACCGAGGATTGAACTCAGATCCTTGCGCTTGCCAGGGAAGCGCTTATTCCACTGAGCCATCTCCCCGGCCCCAAGGATTTGGGGGGGGGGGCGCTCAGGATGCCTTCAGGGCGGGTCTAGTTTGGCTTAAGGATAAGGGGATCAAACCACTGTATCCTGAGCCTGACTGCTTTGTTTCAGCAGGCACTTAAAACACCTGAGCTAATGGGCAGCCCTACCCGCCCCCCCCCCCATTTGGCCATCTTAACCACTTCCTCTTGCTGTCTTCCACAATGTTTCTTTTACTGTTTGTGGGTCAAGTACTTTTTCTTTTCTCCATCGATCAGGCTGTCAACCCACAAATACTTCCTTTTTTGTCAGATACTAAGTAAGCTAGATGTTCACATATCAAGGAACATTTCACCTGTTTCTTGAGGTCCTATTTTATTCATATCCTAAATATTGTCTGTAGAGACATTTTTATTATTGATGCACCAAATTTAAGTCTCCAGCCCAAAATTCTTTTCCTGGTTTTTAGGTGAATTTCCAATTATTTAACTTTCTTGGACATCTTTACTTGACTTTCACAGAGATTTTTTTTATGTATCTGGTACCAGGTCTCACTACCTAGCTCAGACTCATAGTGATCCTCCGGTTTTCAGCCTTTCCAGCGCTAGAATTACAGGCATGCACTACCATGCCAGGTCTCCGTGGCCGGCTCAGCCCAGGGGACAGAGCCAGCCCCGCCTGTGGTGCCTGGGGTGGAACCCAGATCCCTGAGCTTGCCTCAGCAGGTGTCTCACCTGACCTTCACAGAAATATTAAACTCATATATTAAATAATCAATATACGCTGTTCCCCCACACACAAAATGAGATGGAGCTCGCCTTTCCAAAATGATGTGTTGAGTATAAAATGGTCATTAGAAATGGTGCAAATTCTAATTGCAAACCTAACATCTCTAACATATTTTGGACTTATTTTTTCCATTTCTTGCTATGTGTCATGTTTATGTTTTTTTTTTGTTTGTTTGTTTTTTAAATATTTATTTATTTATTTATTGTGTGTGGCCAGCTCAGCCCACCAGGGGGCGGGCGGGCTGGCATGTGGTGCTGGGGGATTGAACCGGAGGTCCCTGTGCTTTGCTTGGCTTAACTTGTTCTAAGTAGGTGCTTTAGACCACTGAGCCATCTCACCAGCCCCATGTTTATGTTTTTTATACTTTTCCACCCTTATTGCCCCTGCCTTAGAGCGTGCTCTTACATGTTTAAATCGCCACCACTCCTATCCGGTCCATCCTACACGCTGCTGTCAAAATGAGTCTTCCGCAACGTGTATGTGTTTATCTGTCCGTTTTTTCCCTCTGGTTTTTTAAGACAGTCTCACTAAGTTCAGGCTGGTCTTGAACTCACTATGTAGCACAGGCCGGCCTCAATTCACAGTGAGCTATAAGTTCTTCCTCAGCCTACTCAAGTGCTGGGATTAGAAGGGTGTGCCACTACACCTAGCTTGTCTGTCACTCAAAGCCCTCCAAAGGTTCTGTTTCCGTTGGATAAAGAATACCTTCTTAGCATAGCTTGTAAAGACTCCTATAATGAGGGCATTCCTGATTTTAGCTATAATATCATCCCTGTTCCCTGCTAAACAACTTGCGTATATCAAAAATTACTATCATATTAGAATATATGGCCCTTTGTTTAAGCTATTCTTCATTCAGTGCCCTGCCACAGTGACTTGTTTTTTGTCCCCTACCAAACACTTAATGTCCCTCGTTTTTGAGTTCTTTCTGTACCTAATGTAGTGTGCTTTTAATTGCTTATGTGCCTGTTTATATTTATCCCTGTCCATTAGCCTTGAGATTCATAGGATTTATGTTTTGTCCCTTTCTTTTTTTTTTCATGTTTGGTTGAGTAAATGGATGAACTCTGATATAAGTACCAATTGTAACAGTGTACTAGCTGATCATCTCTAATCATAAGTAGATTTGTAAGAAAGAAATGTTTTTGGTCGCTTGAGTTTTTTAAAAGATAATTGTCGAGGGCTGGGGAGATAGCTCAGTGGTCTAAGCGCCTGCCTGGCAAGTGCATGGACCAGAGTTCGATGCCTGGTACTGCATGCCGTGCAGGTGCCAGAACTCCAGGCATACTTGCTGGCCCTGAACCCAGACGTGGTGGCACATGCCTGTAATCCCAGCACTGGGGAGACTGAGACTGGCAGATGACTGTAGTCTGAGCTGCGTAGTGAGACCCTATATCCAATAAAAATAAAAATAAAGGTTAGGGCTAGGGAGATAGCTTGGTGGTCTAAGCATCTGCCTGGCAAGCACAAGGACCTGGGTTTGATCCCTAATACTTCATTCTGCGCTGACCCCAGAACCCTGGGCATACAGAGTTGGCTACCGAAACTAGTTGTGCTGGTGCACACCTGTAATCCCAGTGCTGGAGATGCTGAGACAAGGAATATCACTGCAAATCCAAGCTGTGTAGAGACTCTGTACCAAGTAAATAAAGAAATAAAAGATTTGAAAATTAAAAACAGGGCTGACCAGATAACTCAGCAGACTAAAGCACCTACTTAGGCAGAGTGCAGTAGCCAGGGTTCAATCCCAGCTTACCATGCCAGCCCCGCCAGTGAGACAGCCATTGAGACTGGGCATGGTGGTGCATACCTGTAATCCCAGTGTTTGGAAGGCTGAAAACAGGAGAATCACTCAAGTCTGGTCTACGTAGTGAGACCCTGTAGACCCTGTACTAAATACAGTTTTAAAAAATTAAAAATAAAAAGATAATTGTAGCCAGGTATGATGGTACACACTTGTAATCCCAGCTGTCTGGAGGCTGAGGCAGGAGGATTGCTAAAAGTTTAAGGCCAGCCTGGGCTACATAGTAAGTTCAAGGCCGTCGTGAATTACAGAGCAAGACCCTATCTCAAAAAAAAAAAAAAAGCAAAAAACCTAAAAGATAACTGTAGTTTCCATATCCAACACTAACACTGTAGACCTTTTTTTGATCTAAGGTCGAGGAATATAAATAATTGTCCCTCTTATGGCGTTAGGCTCTAGTAGCTTTCTATTTCACTCAGTAAAAGCCAGCTGACCTGGTAGGGTCTTTCTGGTCCTGACCTTCCCTCAGTTCAGGTCACCCTGGCCTCCTTGCTGACCCAGGACACACTGGCACACACCCACCTTGGATGTTTGCACTACCTGCTGCTGCTACTTATACAGCCTTTGGCTTGGTGATGGTAGGATTTGCTCCCTCATTGCCCTCAGGCCTTTGCCCAACTGTCTCCGTATAGTGATAGCTTCTCTGGTCGCTTGGTCCGCATCATTTTTTCTTCCCCTGCATTTTTTTTCTCCATAGCCATCCAAAGCTATGGAGGTATTTGATTCATTTTTTTCTTCTCTTCCTCCAATGGAATGTAAAGCCTGTAAGCACAAAGATTTTTCTTTTTTAGTTTTTTAAAAAAACCTTTCTTCTTTCTTTATTTGGTACAGGATCTCACTACACAGTTTGGACTCATAGTGATCCTCCTGTCTCAGCCTCCCCAGTGCTAGGGTTATAAGCGTGTGCCACCACACCCAGTTTCAGCGGCCTGGCACAGCATGTGCTACCAGGATCAAACCCAGGTCCTTGCGCTTGCCAGGCAGGAGCTTAGACTGCTGAGCTATGTCGCCAGCCTGAAGCATAGAGATCTTTATTTCCCCAGCACCCAAAACTGTGTCTGTAATGTAGTAAGCAAGCAGGCAATGCATACCTGTTGAGCGCATCAGTAGATAGCCATGTGCTCAGCACTTGGCACTTTAAATCCTTACTACAACCATTTGTGATGGTGCTACTGGTTATAGGAAAAGAAATTCAGGCCCAGAGAATAAAATGTCTAGAACTGGCAAAAGTCATGCTCCAACCCAAGTCTGTTAGTCTTAAATTGCATATTTTGCAGTGGAATCCTTATTGGTGTCCCTCCCCTCCCTTTTGCTCTTACAATGTTAAGAGGGACTTTCTCCTCTACCCCAGCAGAGAGGGCAGGTTTTTCCAGAGACTGTATTTTTTGCATTTTATCTTCTAACATATTCAATACAGACCATATTTGTATGTTTCATTGCCTGTAGGCTGTGATTTAAATGTCTTGTTGCATTCATGCCAATGTGAGCCACTCGTGTGCTGCATGCATGATTATTCCATCGACCGCCATAGGATAGTCCCATTAGGTGATATAAAGTACACAGTGAAATATTATTTAACTCTAAGAAACAAGAAAGTTCTGATACATGCCATCCACAGCGTGGATGAACCTTGAAGACATTAGGTGAAAAGAGCCCTGGAGATTGGTGATAGTAATGGTAGTGCAGTGTGAATGTATGTAATACCACACCACTCGACTGTGTTCTTAAAAATTATAACGTGCTAAGTTCTGTACATATTTAATTATTTCAAAAATTAAGAGGAAAGCAAAGCTAATTAGTTCAGTGTTATCCAGTTCAAGGTTGCAGGTGAAGTCCAACCTGGTGTAAAGAGACCACACATAACATCCAGTTAACCACTCATAAGATCCTGTTAAAGTTTCTGACAAAATCTGCTTATCACCATCAAGGTCACCACACAGATAGCCACTGCAATCGATCTGCCTAAAGGTAGCCTGGGTTTCAGACTGGCACAAGAGCGTCCAAAGCTTGAGCAGCTTAGTGGATGGACCAGTATTACTTAATGCACAGTATATATGTTACCTTCATGGAAAACTTACTGTTATTTTTATGCTGGTTTTCCATAGGAGACAAAAATGAGGTAGTTATTTTGTCCTTAACTTTATTTTCTAAGTTAGAAAAGTTTCAAGAAAACAAAGGCGTTTTAATAGTTTAGTCATGTGTCATTTGGTGATAAGGATGCCTTCTGAGAAGTCCGTCAATGATTTCATCTTGTGAAACATTGTAGTATGTACATACACAGACCTAGATGGCATGGCCTGCTACCCACCTGGGCTCTGTGGTGTGTGTCATTTAATGTGCAGCCTGTTTTTGACAGGAATATCTACCATGGCTAGTTAGTTATTCACCTGTCCTTTAGAAGTCCCTGTTAAATAAAATGTGCTGAAACCTTTTTTAAAGCAAGTTATGTTTCTTAAAGCTTTGAATATCTGTGTTTTCTTGAATTTGCTATTTCTGATTACGAGGTTGTTGTACATCCCTTTCACTGCACTGAATTAGGTCTGGTTTAGGTTGTGCTTCCTTCACGTTGTGTCACTTAGATTAAATCGCCCAGCTACTCTAAACCTTCTAAAAACACTTACAGTGATGCTTATCTCAGAGAACTAAAACCAAGAGCACACATGATCTTAGCCAAAAGTCCAAGAAGTAATTTTAAGACCATGTAAATAATGGCTGCTCTTAAAACAATGTGTAGTACATATTTAAGCCTTTTTTTAAAAAAAAATAAGTTGACCAACACATTTGATGTAAATTTTGCTCTAGATTTTTTCTTTTTGATTTTACTATTCTCATTCAACAAACTTACCAAGTATTATAGTTTAGATCTCAGATGTACCCCCAAAGTGTCATGTGTTTGAAGCATAATTAGATCATGTTGTTGCTGTACTAATCAGCAGATTCATCCATTGATAATTGTAGTAGCTGAATCTGTTGTTGGAGTGGGGTCCAGTTGGAGGTGGGTCACTAGGGGCATCACTTGGAAGGGGGTGTTCTTGTTCCTGGGCTCTTCTCTCTCTGCTTCCTGGCTGCCATGGAACGAGCAGCTATCCTACTCCATGCCCTCTGCCATGTCCTTTCTGCCTTTAGCTCACTAACCATGGATTGAATTGTCTAAAAACTGTAAGCCAAAATAAAGCTGTCCTATGCATTTGTGGATGCGGGATATTTTGCACCAGCAGTTAGAATGTGACTGATACACTGAGTAACCATTGTGTGCTAATCCTGCATAGGTATTGGGGTGTGGTGGTCAGAGTACTGTGAAGAGATTCTGTCCCTAGAAATGTCCATATGTCAGAGGAAACCATTAATCCTTTGAGTACAGTTTTGTAACTGCTGGAAAGGAAACAGCAAAGGTCCATAACCTGAATTTTCTCTTCTCCTTTTTTATCTCTTTAGGAAATTAAGTGTTAAATCCATCACAAACCCTCGGTACCTGGACAGCCTGGGGAGCCCATCAGCAAATGGTCTGTATGACTTAGCACTGGGCCCTGCAGACTCCAAAGAGGTGTGCGCCACCTGTGTGCAAGATTTCAACAATTGCTCCGGACACCTGGGCCACATCGAGCTCCCGCTCACAGTGTACAACCCTCTCTTCTTTGATGTATGTGCTGCCTGGGGTGTGTGGGTCTCAGGGCTGCTCATGGGGTTGTGAGGACCACAGCTCTTCCCACAGAAAGTGTCTGAGAAGGTTAAGCTTTAAGGGCTTTATGTTAAAGCTCTTTCTCTAAAAAGAGAAAATCTAGAAGACTTAAATACAGATTGAATTATCTGAAGTGCTTAGGACTAGAAATACTCATTTCATAGTTTTGTAGATTTTGGAATAGTTGCATGTAATAATAAGATATTTTGGTGATGGAACCCAAGTCTAAACAAGAGGTTCATGTTTCATATCTACCTACGTTATCCAGTCTGAAGGTAATACTATTTATTTCTCATGCACTTGCATTTGGACAGTGACCCATCACATGAGGTCAGGCTATTATTTCAACTTTCCTTTTACCCCTGTTTAAACAAATTTCATTTTGATTGTAATTGAGAAGAGCTCCGGTTGGATTCTGTTTATGTGAAGACAAATGCTCACATTTATTCTGTGTACCTTTTATTCCACAGGCTTTGTGCCTTTCAGAAACCTAGTGGCAACTCTGAAAACAGAACTTGAATATTCTCAAGGCCTCGGAGCTCTTAAAATGGATCTATAGAGATCCACTTCTTGATAGCAGGAGAAACCAAGCCCAGATAGCCCAACAGTCACGCCAAAATAATACTAGTATGAAGTCCTGCTCATGCGTGATTAGCTTTTAATATCAGTGAATATAGCCTCTGAGTGTTTTTTACAGCGACTTGTTGGTGTACATGATATGATTTGTCTGCTAAGCCTATTAAAGAAAGGTTGTTGCCGTAGTTAAGTAGCTCGTATAAGAGAAAGTAATAACCTGTCTCCCATAAGTAAATTTCACATTTTAATGTATTAAAATGAAACCATAAAAGAAAGCACAGAAAAATATTTCAAATTCATAGGTTCCAAAAAGCTTTTCTAAACATATAGAACATATATTCTGGAGTGGAATTCTTAAAAGAGAAAGCGACTGCAAAAAGAGAAATCTCAAGAGTACACAAGATCATCAGGAGTACTGTGTCTAATAACCTGTTTTTTGTATCATTCTTAGAAACTCTACCTGCTGCTCCGAGGTTCCTGTTTAAACTGCCACATGCTGACCTGTCCCCGGGCTGTGATCCACCTCCTTGTCTGCCAGCTGAAGGTTCTGGAAGTTGGGGCCCTACAAGCAGTGTATGAGCTGGAGCGAATTCTGACTAGGGTAAGTAGGTATTGGTAGTCAGACAAATCAGGAAAGCCAAGTAGTGGGAGTAAGAGATGTTCGTATGATGGTCATAATTACTATCCTAATAGTCACCAGAATGTGACTGTTACGTGAAAAGTACCAGTGCAGATGGCCCTTACAGGGTATAACTGCTACGGCAAGCAGAGACACTGAAGTGACACCAGAATTTGGAGGCATACTTAATGCCAGATGAACACTGACAGGAAATAAATTGTCCGTCAAAATATCAGGCCTCAAAGGCACAGGGAGGGAGGTTTTTGTGGGGTTGCAAAGGGAAGGTGCAGAGGTAGAGTACTTGGTTGCCTTTGATTGTTTCTTACAGTGTGCATCATAGTAACCAGCTGTGCATCACAGTGACCAGCCATTTGTGAGAAACAGAAACAACTGGAACTCGAACAGGGGCTGTCACCTGGACAACTGAGGGGTTCTGCTGTATTTCACCCTTTCAGTTTCCTGGCAGATCTTTGCTGGCCATGTTATGTGTGATCTTTTGAGACAAAGCCCAACCAGAAGCAGTAACATCAGAGTGGTCAGTGGTCCTAGGATAGGCCCTAGCCAAGGTCCCCAGTGTTGTTTATTACAGAATTTTCCCCCTAGATTGCTTTTAGGAAGAGACATAATTTAGGCCTCTCTGTTCTGTAATACCACCCCAGCCAGGAAAAAAGCCACAGCTAGCAGAGGGGTGGGGAAGCAAGGACTGGGGTAAACAGTCTGAAAAGGCACAAAAATCAGGGGGACTCATGTATTGAAATATAGAGCAGTCTTCAGCCATGCATGGACTGATCAATGTCCAGAGAGGTTAGAGCAGGCATTTGAGTATGTTGTCTTTTCAGAGTAAGCTTCAGAGGAGCTGTCTTGTCCAGATATCTAAAACTGGATTTCTGAATAAGAGCTGTTAACATACTATATGCAGGGGTGTCCACAGGTATAGCTGGTTTTTCAGCTAAATTTTTATGGAGCTGATTATGAAACTTCTTTACTGTTTTAGAGCTATGTGGCTTATATGCTATATGTGGTTTTTATTTAAACTAGGTGTTATGTCTGCTACAAATGCAGGCCTGTTATTGCTACCAATGGTCAAGGGTAAGGCATATCTAGGAATGATATTTTTTTACAACAGGACCTTGCAAACTTTTTTTACAGTATTGGGGATCAAACTCAAACTCAGGACCTTGCCAGACAGGCACTTCTGCCACTGAGCTATATCCTTGGCCCAACCCTGAAAACTTGTGTTGCCCTCTCAGCTTGGGTATGTGTTGCCCTCTCAGCCAGTCTGAGTAAATGCAGAAGAGCATTTATCCCACTTATCCATCTGTATGTCCAGGTGGAGGTAAGCGCCAATGACACAGACGCTGAAACCTGAGCTGGCTGCAGGGATACAAGAGCCAGCTCTGTGGCTTGAGTTCATACAGCATATGGTGGGGGCAGGTCTGGCTCTGATTTAGATAGATCTTGTGGGAGCTGGCTGGGGTTGATCTTTCTGTCAATTGGATCCCCAGAGGGGCTTTAGGAGAGCAGCTTTGATTTCCTTGGTGATAGGTTTCCAAACAGCAGCCGGAAGCAGTGGCTGAAGAGCTTTGGCCAAAATAGCTTTGTCCAAGGTGACCATAGCATGTCTAGTCTGTCATCTTAACATCTTACTTCCATCTATACTCAGCATCTGTCAGGGATTCATTTTTAAGTCTGGTTGATCAGACTCCCCTTCTCGAGCTGAGCAGGGCAGACTAACTGGGGTGCCCTGGGGGTCTTATCCAATGACCAGACCAAAGTGCATCCTCCTCCCTGTTGGGTCTGATGTGAGCCACTCAGTGGAGAGCCAAGAATCATCCTCCAGACCTGAGGGGAGTCAGGACATCTCAATGGTGTGCCTTCCCATCAGGACTGGAGAGGTCCTCGCTTCAGCGAAGAGGACCATGACTGGTCATCAAAGACATCAGCACGGTCAGTCTTACCAGCCAGCACACCAAATGCAGGGGCAGGCAGGAACAGCAAAACGACACCCACAAGGGTACTGGTGAATATCATTCCCAAAAAATCAAACCCCAAGGACTCAGGGAAGAAGGTTTTTATGGAGTCTACAGGAAAAGTACAAAAACAGAGTATTTGGTTGTCTGGTTCTTACAGTGTACATGACAAAGACCAGCTGTTGCTCAGAAACAAAGAGTAAGAACTGGAACTGTTACCTGGGCAACTAAAATCCTGAAGTGTACTGGTGGGGGGAGGGGGGGCATTTTCTGCTGCACAGCTACATCTTGAAAAAACATAAAGCTATGAGAATAATTGAATAGGTGATAATGAAAAAGATACTGAGAGGCTTCCTTTTGGGCCCAGGGTTATGCATTGCTTTTTTTTTTTTTTTTTTTTTTTTTTAAACCTGGAACTGGTGATTGTACTCAGGCCTTTGAGTTTGTCAGGGAAGCACTTATTCTACTGAGCCATCTCCCAGGCCCCAAAGATACGGCCCCCCCCCCCCCCCCGTGGTACCAGGGATTGAACTCAGGACACTGTTTATTCTACTGAGCTATCTCTCCAGCCCATGCATTGCTTTTGATTGTTATCACAAGAGCTATATAGCTCTTGGATCTATTTTAATGGAAACACTTTAATGTAGAAAATTCCTTATTGTGAATGTTTTTGTTGTAAAAGACATTACTTGGAGAACTGGCAAAACAAAAATGGTATCTGAGAGACGGTAGTAATTCCTTATGTTGATATATTGTATGAAGATGGTATCGTGGTCATATTAGAGAGTGTCCTTGTTTATAGAACATGTTCAATAAAGGGTTCAGAAGTGATGAGACATAAGATGAGTAACTGCTAAGTGGTTCAGGAAAAGAATTTTGGAAATACAGTACCTTTTTTTGAGTTTTGAGATTTTCCAAAGTAAAAATAAATTATCCCCAAAATTAGGAACATTTCACCATGAAGTATGATGTTTGTTGAACTTTTGTAAGCTTTTGTCGAATTAAACTCCTTTCCAGGCATATTTTTCTGATTGTTGAGTGTTTTTATACTCTATCACTTTTGAAATTTTAGATAAATTTTAGGAGATTTTAATTTCCTTTTTAAGTAGGTTCATTTGATTCTTTTCTGACATTAAGCTAATTTTGGACTCCTAGTATAAATCCATTTCATTCTTTTTCATTTATTGCTTTTTTGATATATTGCTGTTTTTCATTTTCAAATATTTTCTGTAGTGTTTTTGCTTTTATAACTATGAGTGAGATTGCTTTATAAATTTCCCTTCTCATATTGTTCTTTGGAATTTGAGTATTTAGAGTATCTCAGCCTTATAAGAACAAATCAAAGAGTTTCTCTTTCCCTTAAAATGCTCTGAAAGAGATTGTAAGAGATTCGTGACGTGCTGCACTAGTAGAACAATGCCAAACACTCTCTTTAGCAGTGTCCTCACAGCCATTCAGCAACTAACCCTTTTTGGCTCTCCAAGTGACTGCCTGGAGGCAAAAGAACAAGATCAAGTCAGCGGCTACAGAAACCACTTCTAAAATTCATATGCCCCTGACAGAATCAGTATCTTTTCTAAGAGTTCCGTGAGCTGGGTGCCCAAGTTCATGCCTGGTGAGGGAAGCTTAGAGCTGTGGTCTCCTAACTGGTATGTAGTTCAGAGCGTTGGTCCAGATGCAGGCACACCCCTGCTGGTCGTTTGTGCCATCAGCAGTAGTACCCACTGCTACAACTGACATTTCCATTTCTGTCACATTTCCTGGGCTAAAAAGTTAACCCAGGGTCAGAACTCTTAGAAATAGGGAAACACAAAAGGAGAAAGAAAAGGTTGTCTTAAAACTTTTCTCGAAGTTATGTTTTAGGAATTTGTCCATCTCTAGTTTAAAATTTACTGGTGTAAAACTACTGGTGGCTACTGTCCTTAAAAATTTTTTTTTGTAAAATATACATTAAAAAATGTAATCATGCATATATATCCATATGGTGCCCTTTCTTAGCAAAATATTTTCCAAGTTCTAGAAACCCTCTCTTCTTCCTTTTTCATAATAGGCTTTTTAAGCCACAAGTGCATAGTAAAAATTGGCATGGCTTTAGTTTGAGCCCTAGGATGCTGCTGCTATTCTCAAGAGAGGCCACTCTTTGCTTCTGCTTGATGGCACTACCAATGTGAGACCACCATAGTCTGGTTTGAAGCCTAAGGCTCTTTAGACTGCCTGAGCTAGTGTACAAGGACTGGCGCTTCCCAAAGGTGCAGCCTTTGGACCCTTCTTTTATTATGTTTCTGTGTTGGTGTCCTGTTAGATTCCTACCCTGGCAGTTGAGCTTTCAGCTATAATTCCTGTCTCCAACTTATTTGAGAGCTTTGAATTGAAAACTTGCACGTTGCTGGGGAGATGGCTTGGTAGAATAAGCGCTTCCCTGAAAACTTGCTCATTGCTGAATTGGAAAGTGTGCCCAAGGCCAGGGCTGCCACGTCAAAGAGCTCTAGGGAACCTTACAGACATTGATACCAGTATTACCCCCAGAAGCTCATGGTGCACTGAGTGACATCCTACATTGTGCAACCGCATTCCACATACTCTTTGGCCTTGAGAGGTTTCTGTTTGCCTTCCAGTTTGTCCTGTCTGTCCTTCTGAGCATTAAGATTTTTAAAATATTTTGGGCCGGGGAGAAGGCTCAGTAGAATAAGCCCTTCCCTGGCAAGTGCAAGGGCCTGAGTTCAATCCCCGGTTCCACCAAAAAAAAGATTTTTATAATATTTTATCCCATTTTGAGTCTTTCCACTGTTAAATTTGGGCTGAGTAACGCAGTGCACAGGATTGGAAGCATAGATTCTGTTGTAGTAGTCACAGTCTCTTTTTCTCCCTTCAGACTTATTTCAATGAGTGGCTAGCCTCAGGGGTGGTAGACGAACATATACTAACTTCATTGGACTAACACAATTTTCCTCTTTGTTTTTAGTTTCTAGAAGAAAATGCTGATCCTTCTGCCTTTGAAATTCAAGAAGAATTAGAGCAATACACAACCAAAGTTGTACAGAACAACCTCTTGGGGGCGCAGGGAGCACATGTGAGTTCTCACCATAACCTGTTTTTAGTGGCATTGTCACAGTTCTCTGTGTAGTTCCATTTGCATATGATTTTGGCTCTTGAAGTCTACATTTCAGTTCTTCCTCTGAGAAGCCTGAGCTTTCAAGTTGGGTACCTTTCTCTGAGTGACTGTTTCCTCATCTCTATTGTAGGACTAATGAGACAATTAGGTAATGTTAGGTTATCTAAAGTGTATCTAGCAAGCATCTACTTTGAGAACTGTGTTTCATAGCACCTGTGTAATGAATGTGGTGGATAATCAACCATAGTACTGATTTTGAAGTGAGACTTGCCTCCTGTCTAGGTTCTACACCAGGGATTCTGATTCCCTTGGTCTAGGGTAGGACCCATGTTGAATTACAGTAGCTCCCAGCCTGTGTACAACCATCCACAGAGCCACTGTGACTGAGCCTTCCTCAGCTCTAGGTCTATCTGAGGGAGGCAGCAGGCTGGGAAGACAGCTGCACCCTGAGAGGTTTGTTTTACAGTTGATGGTAACCAGGGCTATTGAGTGTTTACTGTATTCCTAGACCTGTATTACTACACTCATGATATCTTTAGGTAGTTACTATTATTATTCTTTATTATGAATGAGGGGGTGGAGGAGATGGCTCAGTGGAATAAGCGCTTCCCTGGCAAGCGCAAGGGCCTGAGTTCGATCCCCAGTTCTGCAAAAAAAAAAAAAAAAAGTTCACTCTTTACTATGAATGAGAAGTGGAGCTGAAATGAAGGCATTCAGTAATTGGCATAGCTTGGCTATATCAGGGCACTGTGGGGTTTTGTTTTGAGTTGTTGATGCCAGGGCCTCTGCCACTGAGCGTCATCCCAGTGTTGGTGGAAAATTTTATATAAGAAAGCAAGGGTAGTTTCTGCTAGTTAAAAATAAGACTTAAAAGCCACAGAATGAATACACATTGGGTTTTTTCAAAATTATACTCCAGAGTCCTCTCACTTTTTAACAGGTGAAGAATGTGTGTGAGAGCAGGAGCAGACTCATTGCTTACTTCTGGAAGGCACACATGACAGCTAAGCGCTGTCCCCACTGCAAGTGAGTATCCGTGCACTGCCTCTTTCTTTCCCTAGGCAAGAAGGCTCTGGCCAGTCACTCAGAGCCATTGTTACATGTGATGTTGAAATTTGTTTCTCTCTTCAGTCACCTTATGTGATTCTTATGTGCAGGACAGGGCGGTCAATTGTCCGCAAGGAGCACAACAGCAAGTTGACAGTCACATATCCAGCCATGGTACACAAGAAGCCTGACCAGAAAGACACAGATCCCTTGGGTAAGGAACCTGGGGATTCACAGGTGCACGCTGGCCATATCTCAGGCATGGCCGTCAGATGTGCCCTGGCCTTGGGGATATGGGTCCTCCTTAGCACCTATTCCCAGGCTGCATGTTTCCTTCTCACCCCAGGGAACCAGTTGGTGGGCAGGGTTATTGGAGGAGGCAGTGCGCTAAGGTGCCTCTTGCCTCAAGTGGCTGTTTCTCTGCAAGATGTTTGAATAAGAAATACATTTTATTGGGCAAATAGAATTTTATTGGGCAAATAGGCTGTAAGATTTAATTGTAAAACAAAGGTGCAGTAAAATGGGGGTAAATAATTTTTAAGACTTCAAACATTCGGTAAAATGTTAGCGCCATCTACTGGCTGTTCCTAGTTGTTCACTGACACCACTACAGGTAAACTAGATCGGCACTTTCAGGGGTACTGAGGAAAAATGCTTGAGACTGACCACTTTCACCTTTTTTTTTTTAAATTGGTAGTGGTAGGCTTGTTTAAACATGTTTTCCTGTTTTTTGTTCTAAAGAGGTAAGAAATAAGATTTGTGTAAAGTATCAAGACCAGTAACCTTCATACAAAGGGGTGGGAGACATGGCTCAGTAGAATAAGCGCTTGCCTGGCAAGCGCAGGGGCCTGAGTTCAATCCCCAGTTCCACCAAAAAAAAAAAAAAAAAAAAAAAAGAGCAGTATCTGCAATGTAGTATATATTCTATAGAGGTAGTCAACATGCCGGGGTGAAAAAGCACAACCTGTGACTGACAGGTGGCCCTGGTATATACTCTGCATGGAGAAAGCTACTCTCTAAAGCTTCAGTTTCTAACCCATGTCCCAGCAGTCCGTATTAGGTGGAGGATTTTTCCCCACAGGGCTTGAGAATGTGAAACAAGCAAGGAAATAAATTCACTTCTTAGAGATGTCATTTGTATCTTTTGCACTGAAGACTCCGGCAAGGATGAAGTAATATCAGAATTGTTTTTTCTGGAGTTTTGGGGTTTTGTTCTTTTTCCAAAATTGAACCCAGGAGCCTTTACACAGAGCTATATCTCCACAGTGCTTTTTATTTTGAGACAGGAGTCTCACTAAATTGCTCACGATTCTCCCTCTCCATCCTCCCAGAGTACTGGGAGTACAGGCATATGCTACCAAGCCTGGCCAAACCTTTTTTGTTATTTTTGAGACAGTATCATTATGTAGGCCGGACTGGCTTTGAACTCACTATACCCCACGGTGGCCTCGAACTTGCAGTGATCCTCCTGCCTCAGCCTCCTGAGGCATGTGCCCCCATACCTGGCCCTATTTGTTTGTATATTGTCTTTTTTGAGGTAGGGTCTCCGTATGCATCTAAGGCTGGCCTTGAGCTCACTTTGTAACCCAGGCTGGTTTCAAATTTGGAACGATCCAAGTGCTGGGATTACAGGTGTGTGCCACCATGCCCAGTGCCTATTATTTTTAAATAAACTTTAGAGTAATTTTAGACTTTTCCAGAGAGAAGTAGCAAGCATACTAGATGTCTCTTACACTCAGTTTGCCCTAATTTAGCATTTTAGGAGCATATGTCAAAACTTAACATTTAACCTTGGCATGGTACTATGAATGCAGATTTTATTTGAGGTTTGTCAGGGTTTTTTTCAGTGACTTTTTTTGTGTTCCAGGATCCAATCAAGGATACCACCCTGCATTTAGAAACCATTTTTATAGGCTGTGGTTGTAACTCAGTGGTAGAGCATTTCCCTCCATGTGCACAGCCCTGGCTTAAGTCTCCAGTATGACAAAACAAAGCCTGCTTCATTTTATTTAATAATCACTGAATAGCACAGGATTATATTTTCCCTTGCTTACCTGTAAATAACTCTTAACACAATTTTCCTTTAGTACACATTTGGAAATTGCTATTGTATCCCTTAGCACGCCCTGAAACATGCTACCAGAATGGAAACAAAGACAGTCAGAATACTAGAAAGTAACTTTCTGCAAATATCTAGCAGTTACTTAGCCTTGAGTAGTACCTTTGCCAAATCCACTTTTCTGATGTGAACTTTCCCTGCAACTATAAGAATAAGATGTTGTACCCAGAAATCTGTGCAGTAGAAATATGTAGACTGTAGTGCTAGGGGTGGAGTTTTGTATTTAACAAACATTTGGTTGTTGGGCAATTGGCATTATGCCAAGGACCGTGTTTATAGGAGTCCATGGTACCAAGATGGAGACTTGGCCATGTGGCCCCTGCTCTCTCAGGAGACTACAGGTGACAAACCATTAACGCAGAGCGGGTGATCGTCCTTAGTCTGATCAGGTCATCTTCATCACACTAGAGAGCAGAGAAGTGAGGCTTCTGCTTAAATAGTCCCCAAGGACTGGTGATCCAGGAGAAGAGCCATAAGCTTATGAAAAGCTGTGTAGCTCCAGGGAGTTCCCCAAACCCCTTGAGCACATTAGCATTTAGAACAAGAATTCTGGCAGCCAAGACACTCCCACCTGTGGAAGTCCAGTGTTCCCAGGTTATATAACCTCCAAACCCTTTTTAAAATAGTAGTTGTTACAGTTGAGATCAATGCATGTTTGAGATGCTCTAAAATTCTAGCTAGGCAGATTTTCTTGTTGCACATTGTCGAGCCTTGTTAGGAACAAATACAGCTCCTCTGAGATGCCTGTGTGTGTGTGTGTGTGTGTGTGTGTGTGTGTGGTACTGGGGATTGAACTCAGGACCTTGTGCTTGCCAGGCAGGGGCTTATTGTACTGAGCTACTTATCTCCCCAGCCCTGAGATGACATCTTGTAGATCTCTTCTGTCTCTTAAGCTCCCATTGACTGAACAACCTCCATGTGCCTTCTCGGAGAGCTAAACTGCAAAGAGGGCACTTCTGGTGTAGCACTAGGGAGAACCAACCAGTCTTCCACCTTCAGACATGGTTAACAGGAAAGTTTAAGTATTCATTTCTAGAAATGCTCACAAAATTGTTTAAGTTAATATGGTCTGATTTTTCCCCCCACTGAACATACATAGCTAATAGGATTCTCCTTGAAGTTCAGAGCTACTCTTCTTTGCATATCCAAACTTCATTTGCATTGATTGGCTGAAATGTTTTGCTGTTAAAAGTGTGCAGGTTCCTTGACTTAGCAATTCCACTTCTATCATCTTATACAAAGGAATTAGAGTACCCACAGCATTGCTGAAGTAGTTTAAAACTAGAGATGCTTCAATGGCCTGTTAATAGAAATAAATTTTATTTATTTTTTATTATTTATTTGTGTGTGTGTGTGTGTGTGTGTGTGTGTGTGTGTGGCCAGC